AATGAAAGGTGCCCCTTTTCCTCCCGGGGCAGATCTACGGAGAGGAACATGCTCGAGTCACGTTCCCTCCCCATTCAAGGTTTTCCTCCGTTCCTGCTCGGTCCCTTTTGCTGCTGTGGCGCTCCTCCTTGCGCTGCGTAGCCATAAAGGCTCGAGACGACTGTAGCTTGAGAAGCTCTTACCTGGCCTCTCTCCTTCCCCTTGCAAGGTTCTGGTTTGTTGGTTTGTTTATGGAGCAGTTTTATGATCCTTGCTCTTTCTGAGACGCCTGTCTGGCTGTGATTGATGCGTCTTCTCAAAGGTTGTGCATTGCAAGGGTACAAAAACAAAAGGAGCAAGAGGAGATTCTTCCTTTAGTGCCTTTAAAATGTAACTGAAATTCCAGAAAATGAAACCCCTGTGCTTATTTAGTTCCAAGATCAATTCTCAGTCAAACCTAATGTATCAGTAGGAAACCAGAACAAGAAATTAAATATATTTTTTCTCCTTCTTTCCTGCACCAAGCTCCTTTTTTACAATTACCCCTCCTGCACTGTAAAAATCTATTTTCTTAGTTTTCTTTCAGTGGATACATTGCAAAAGTGCAGATATTCACTTTTTCAAAGTTCTTTATGGGTTTTTCCTGCAATAAGAAAGACTTGGCTCTGCAAAGTAAAAAGGAAGAATTCAGATGACCACAACATCTCATTGGGATGGTACGCTTGTTGCACAGGGCCAGCAAGCTTTTCTTCCTGGATTGCACTGTGTTCACGGCAAATGGGTTTTCTGCCTTGCACTGTATCTGCCCGTCTATCTTTGTTATGTTGTTAGGTGCTGTCAAATCATCTTTGACTTCTAGTGACCCTATGAATGAAAGCCCTCCAAGATGTTCTATCCATGACATCCCTGCTTAGGGCTGTCTTTCTAGCTAAAACGATATCTAGGCTGTCTTTAAGGTGGAACTTAAGCATGGGCATAATGTGGTTTGCATTCCAGCCTGCACTGGGAAGGTTTGGAAAGACTCATGGCATGGCATCCCATATTAATTTCAGGCGGTGTCACCCCTTCCAACATTAAAAAGAGGATTCAGTGTACTTGCATGTGAAGATAATGGTTCCTTATCATGTAAATAGAACTTTCAGCACATGTGGACTCTGCTCATGTGCTCAGTTGTTTTGCCATGAAGCCCCTCTCAATGCTCATTCATTGAAAGAACTTTTGAAAATTTTGAAAGAACATATAAGTCTTCCCCAACCTGGCGATAACAGGAAAAGCACTTTGGGGCCACTGAGGAAGAAACAAAAAGCACCATACACATAATACACTATTCTGCCTATTATTTTCTAAACATAATACCATAAATAAATTCTCCAAAACAACCAGAAACTGAGCAATAAAAAATGCCAACAGAACAAAATACCAAAATCAGCTTAGTGTGGCTCTCAGCCAGCTCCCACTAAGTTGTTTCTCTCTTTGCTGCCCCCCCCCCACAGAAGTATCAGCGCACCCTCCATGAATGCAATGCCAAATGAGATGCTGGAGCACAGCCAGCCCCCATGCTGGTCTGTGGTGAGAGGGATGTGCTCCCCCCAGGGACCAGTGGGAAATCTCCTGTGGACCAGCGCTGCTCCATGGACCAGTGGTTGAAAACTGTTTTAGATGTCTACTCCCATCAGTCCCTGCCACTATGACCAAGAGTCAGGAATGCTGGCAATTTTAGTCCAAACCATCTGGTGAATACCAGTTTGGATAAAGGCAGACTAAACCAATGTTATGATAATGGTATCATTGAGCAAAGGTGTGGGTGTGTGAAGTATTCAGCCACCCTTAGGCTGTATGAACAGATCTGTAGACATTTGCTCACAATTTTCCTTCTTATTTTGCTGTTCCCCCTCACACTAGTCTTTGGCTCCATTCTGATTCTTTGCCTTGCTCTTTATCCCTCCATTCCCAGCCACTAAGTTTGCTGTTTCTCTCCACTGCTACCTCTCCTTAGCTGATCTTGGACTAGCTAGGCCTTCATAGTAGCCATCATGTTACTAGCTAAATTCCCCATGGGAAGAAATTTGTGGTGGTGCCCACAGTGGTTTCTCACATAACTAAATGTGTCCAAAAAGGTTGGGGACCCCTACCCTAGGATATTGAAGGTACTCTTAAAGCACAGGCACACAATATTTACACAGAAATAAGCAGTGCTTTTTTTGTAAGAAAAAAGGTGCTGGAACTCATGAAATTATTTACCTTTCACATGTAGTCAATCACTGTACACACACCCACACATGTCAGTTGTCTAACGAAATGTAATGGTTGCCACCCTCAGTAAGCTCAGTGCGCGACCACATGACCAATCACAAGCCGAGCAGCACCATCACAACCAGCGCGGACAAAGTACACATGTATCGGACTCGACACACAAGCAGCCTGCATGCACCGTTTTAATGATTTTGCTGCCGACCTGCTACACTCGACAGGGTGATTCGAATCCATGTGGCCTAAACATCAAATTTTCAAAAGTTACTTTTAAAACTTGGAAAATCCATCGAAAAAAGGTGCCAGAACTCTGTTCTGGTGCGTTCTATGACAAAAAAAGGACTGGAAATAAATATGTTATGTGGCTTTCTAGTCAGCTTCCTCTAAGCAAAATATACCATGTAAGGCATAATAAACTAAAAGGAACTGTTTGATAGTAAGCAGATATGTATCATAGGCCTGAACCTATAGGGTCTGGGGTTGATGTCAATTTTAAAACTGAAGGTAGAAGGCCTTCAAATTTGTCCATGCAAAGCAGGAAATTATCCATCCTTCCAGGCAGATGAACCAATGTGCTGTCTTGAAAAGGTGAAAAAGAAGATTTTGTTCTAGAAGAAATGACCCATTTAAATTGTTCAAAGAAAATTTGATCAGGAGGGTCTTGTGTTACCATTGGTTACCAATACAAGCCTGTATGAATAAGCATTCTGGAAAATGTATTATCTAAAGTAACATGTCTGTGTTATAACTGGGAAGTGGGCATATTGCTCTGTTCAACAAAATGCTAACTAAGGAGTGGTATGGCTGACTCAGAATGAGGTAGCAATGTGTATGGTGTGATTCTTAGAGCACTCAGCCTTTCTGACAGCCATTGCTGCTGCCGTAGCAACCAGACACTTTGGGTGATGTAAAAAGAAAATGTAAATAAAGAACTCTGTTCCAAAAATGTCACTGGAAGGGGAGAAAGAAAGCTTCCTGCTCTTGGGCAAAAATCCTTAAAAATACCTCTGGAGAAATAAACATAAGATACTTAAAATATATAATACTTAAGCACGTTTTGTGCTTTATTTACAAAATGTGCTGAAATTTAATATATTTTCAGTTCTTTTTAGCCGAGTTTGGCAACCTTGTTCAGCTTTAAGCCTGGTGTAGCCAATTGGCTTTTGATAGTTACTCGTTTAGCAGCATATGATGAGCATTAATTATAAACACCAAGCCAGTAGATTGGACACAGTGGACATAGGAATTTCAGACAATCTTTTAGTCCATGTGTAGAAAGGGAATCAATGAGTTGAGTTCAGTGAAATGAGAAAACTTGACATTTTCAAGTTAGTACTTTATATATATATATATATATATATATATATATATATATTACTCTTTTTAAACATGAGACTCTTAAAAAAATTAGAGCTGTCCTGATTGATCAGACCTGGTTTGGCTTGCTGGATGTGAGGCGAGGCTTCCCAGCAGGAGCCCGTCCACTGAAAGCATGTGGTCTGCCCCCCTCAAAAACCTTGTAGGGTCATTGAATGGAAGCAAATCAAATACAGGACATGAGAAGACTGAGCAATGCATATTTTAAAAGTGGAGCTGGAAAGGGGAGTATTGTCACTGCTAGTTACACTCAAAAGTATGAAATGACAACCCTGTGTTGATCCCAGTAAAATAACAGCAAGCACTGACATTCTTGTGGAATTTCCCCACTGAAAACTCTCAAGGATCCTTTCTTTACTAAGTAGTTGCATTCCTGAAAGAGGAAGCAAGAACTTCAAAGCCTGGGTGAGAGATAAAAGGAGGACTCTTAAACAAAGATTAGCTTGTACAACATTACGCTGACTTTCTGCTTGAACTTTAGTATTTTAAGTGCTGCGTGGAGGCAGTTTTCCTCACCCATCTTTGTAGATTGAGGGTCTTTTCCTGTACAGAATTACTTATATGTGTAATCATTTAAAAGCAGTTCAATCCTTTTTGTTTTATCAAACCAAACAATTAAGTCAGCTGTAAGTAAGTGTACTTAATGTTATCTGTTATCTCTTGCAAGAGAAAGACAATTAACAGGATGGAGAATGTTAACATGAAGCTCTGCTTTCAGAGCTTTGGCTGTAAATGGGATATAAATGTAAGATATGAATACAGGAAAATAATGAGGTCAACAGGGGAAAGGACACATTTAGCAATTAAAGGTTGATTGTACGCCTGGCTTTTTGCTGTAGTTTAATCCACAAAAAAATCAGTTCATCTTCACATTGCTGCAAGGCACATCATTATTTTTGCTTCAGCTTAGACATAGGGAAGAGTCAGCTTTAAGCTCTCTTCTTTTGGCTTATGCTGCAAAAGGTTATAGTGCTAGCAAGAAAATAAACTTTAAAATGTTTCTACATGTTATCCTAAAAATCCAGACTATAACTCTTTATGATAAATACTGACAAGAGCTCTTGTTTTGGGAAAAGTTCATTCCTTTGAACAACATTGACGGGCATTACAGTGGAAAAAAAGAAGTAGCAAATACAGCAGGACTCCCATATCTGCTCTCTTAGTTTCTGTAGTTTCACTTAACTGAGATTGACCATCAGCCTGCCAGATTTGCCGGGAGTTAGGGGTGCAGGCCCCCCCACGAAAGTGGAAAAACTGCAGATATTTCTAGGGATAAACTGCAAATAGCTCTAGGAAACTATGCAGACTGTTTGAGGATGCCATGCTCTTTGTTTCGGTACTAAGTTAGCTTCACTCATGTGTTTTGTCTCTCAGTGGGTGTGAAGACTCTAGAGATATTTGCAGTTTTGCCACTTTTGTAGGGGGACCTTTGTTCCTAACCCCAGTGAATGTAGTGTTTGCTACTATCCACAGTTTCAGGGATCCACTGGGGGGCTTGGAACTTGCCCTGCAAATATGGGGGTCCTGCTGTACTTTTTTCTCTTAAAAAGCTTTGCACTCTTGTGTCCAGTGTAAGTGAAAGTCTAGATCAGAATAGTTTGATTTTGACACTAGCAGCCTCAAGATGACTTAGAATGAAATGCTGACCAGTCGTTAACTGTTACTATTGTTCTCACAGCACCTAACTGAGCAGTATATAAAGCTGATTATTAGAGAGGAAAATCGAAATTTCTTTGTGGAAGGAAGAATGTGAGTAGGGGAATGCTTTTAATAGGAAGTACTATAGGATTTGTCAAGTGTAATGCAGTGTTAACAACTTAGATACCCACAGATATGTCAGTTTTACTCTGTGTTAAAAAGTGAGCAGTTAATAAACTTCATTGAATGCACAATAGAATGTGTACGTTGAAAGTAAGCTTTCTTTCACATGGCCCAAAGAATCTGTAATATATTCCTTGGCAGCCTAGGCAACTCTCTCATTTTCAGTGAAATGTCTCTAGTGGCTTCCAAGTCTCCTGGTCTGCATAAATAGGAGCAGTGCTGGAGTTCAGTATAAACAAGGAACCTATACCAGTCCCTGCACACTGGCTGCATTGTGGGCAGATTGCTCAAAGAGGCCTTTCCTGGAGTGACATAGTCATAAAAACACTCCATCTTAACACAGGAACCTGACAGATATTGAAATATATCTGTTGTAAAATTCTGGTTCAGAAAGTAGCAAAAAAGCTTGCTTTTTTAAATGATGTATGAAAAATATTTAAAGTACTGCTCTGGAAAAGTAGCAGAGAACCTGAGCTGAATGCATGGAAAAATTGTTAACAGCCATAACCTTAGGAGATTTTCTTGCTGAGTTCAGGCAGCTTTTTCTGTTAGTGTTTGCTGACATGAATTATATCTGGTACATTTTACCAGAAAGGAAAAGTGGAGGCAGGGAGAGGCTCGAATATGGAACTCCTTTACAGCAGGGATTTGGGTGTCCCCCACACTCTCGTAATTTAGGTGCCAATTGATGACATACTTATTTGGGCAGATTTGTGAGTTATAGGCATGGAACTGTTTTTTTGTTTTATTGATTGAGTTGGTGGTTTTATTGCACTTTATTTGTGATCTCAGAATCAAGATTTTAGAATCATGATTTTAATGTTGTTTATCTGGAATATTTTAGTGTTTGTTTGTTTGTTTGTTTGTGGTGTTAGCCACCCCAGGCTCTTTGGGCATAAGGGCAGGATATAAATAAAATGAACAAGCAGTCAAATGTATCTGGGTCTCCCTAACAGACCTGTGAAATATCAGCCACATTCCAGAGTTGTCCAGACTTATTTTCACAAATCTGATTTGGGTACCTATCTCTGGGAGACGAGAGCTGAGAGTTTCAGCCTTGGTTGCTTTCAAAAATGTACAAAATATATATGGGTGTAGATGTGTAGTATGTCATATCTTGCTTGAGCTTTAAATATAAAATGATATGGGCTTTTCTTTTTAAAAGAGGAGTGCAAATAAATCATAACTGGGCATTTTGACCAATTAAAATTATTTGGTCGGTTGACCAGACAACTCTTATAGTCATAAATCACTAGCTTCACTAGACAAACCAAAAAGGTATTCATCAACGGCTTTAATATGTATGCTGATTACAAAACAAATTAGGTAATTATTGAGTGGTTAATAGTTTTTTGGTTAAAAAAACATAAGAAGTAAACTTCTATCTTGTTTGGCATTCTTAACTTCATGGAATATTTAATCACAATCAGATAATTGGTGATCAAGTGACAGTATTTGATAGGTCATTTGATGAGGGTGCCAACCCTATGGCAAATTTTATATTAATTTGCATCTTCACTGGTGACAGCCTTAGTATCAACTAGAATTGTCACGACTCTTTCTTAATTGTTGAATTTGATGGTGCCATTTTAAAGATTGTTACATACACAAGATATTTCCTTTGAGAACACACGTGCACATACACACACGAAACCACTCTTCAGTGACAAGGGCTTGTTGGAAAATGTTTTATAATTACACTCTGATTTGATTATATTAATTTTTGAACATGGTAGTAAGGTAAGGCAATGGCATTTCATTCTTCTTTTCACTACTGTTACCCAACAGGAATCTTTGCTTATCTGAACTACCGAGTGCCTCGGACCAGGAAGGAGATATTTGAAACTCTAATAAAAGGTCTACAGAGACTAGAATACAGGGGATATGACTCTGCAGGTATGTTGTGGGGTTGCCACATGTTACTTTTACTGCTTCTGTTCCAGTCAAGCAGTAGGATAGTGGAACTAGACTTTGTATGTATATTTTCATGTTCAGTTTTTGAAATTAAGAGACGTAGAACTGCTGCTACTCTTGGTTTCAATACCTCTCTTCCCTGAAGTATTTGAAGTAAGATGTCTTACATGGCATTGCTCTTCCTCCACTTCACATCATTTTCTTTGAACATGCTTTATGCTGAGTCGAAGCATAGGTTCATCTAGCCCAGTACCATCCCCTTGATCAAGCAGCAGATCTTCCATATATCAGGATCTGTGCAAGATTCTTTGCTGATGTCAGGGAATGATCTAGGGACCGCTTGTGTGGAAGCATGTGGGGCAATGGATAGTGCAACAGTGTCATATCACAGATTGCGTTAACCTGGACTTTGCGAGGAAGTTTGGTGTAAGGACCTGGTGGCAGTAGCGAGCCCTTCTGATATTTATTTTTGCTATCATCTAGCATCACTCAGTGCTAGCAATGTATGTATGTATGTATGTATTTAGACAGCTTATATGCCACCCCCATCGCATAAGCCTCGGGGCGGCTTACAATCAATGGAGGCTTGGGTTTGTCATCTATATGTTTTTCCTGCTTCCTTTTTGTTCTTTGCCCTGAAAAGGCTGTACAACACATTGTGCTCTATGATTCAGGTGTTGCAGTTGATGGAAATAATAATGAAGATAAGGAAAGGTACATCAAATTAGTAAAGAAAAGAGGAAAAGTTAAAGCTCTCGATGAGGAACTGCAAAGTAAGTATAAACAAAAAGTACATTTTAGTATGTTTATGGCCAATCTGATACCCAATAAGCAAGCAATAAGAGTGACAATAAGCATTTAATCAGAAGTCATTTGGTGGTTTCCAGGGGTGGGGTTGTCCTTTCCCCCACTTCACATATTTGAAACACATCTACTTGGCTTTAATTAGTGGCAGTAAGAGAACTTAGCTAGCATGCTGGCTTTTCTCCCTGCCCACCTCTGGAATTTGGCCCCCTTTACCTTCTCTGAAAAGGAATCTGGCTGAAAGAAGTCCCTAGATTCTGTTCAAGAGGGCTAAGAAACCCTCTGGTGCAGGTTTTTGGTCAGTGTGGATGGTTACAAATGCAGTGGTGGCCTGTGGGCGGAAGGCAGTCCCATTGCACTGGAAGACCTTCACTAGCATAAAGTTGGATGTTGCCCCTGAAATGTGAATTTTCCATTAGGTAGGATTTCCATTGCTATAATGATTTCTGGGTTGTTAGTCAAACTTAAGTCACATTCATTTCGACAAGGCTATTGAAATAGGACTAACAATCCTATATTGGATCCTATATTGTGGGACAGTTGCTTGATTTATTGCAGCAAAATGTACAAGTTCAGTCCAGTTTCATCTACTTCATTAGAACTATAGAGGCAAATGTTTGTCAAACAGTTTGAAATATACCAGTCTTTTATAATCTATATAATTAGCAAGTTAAGATTTGTTAGTCAAATGCTTTGAATAATATAATTTGATTTTCAAGGAACTGGAAGTATTTACTGATATTTTTTTCTGTACAGAACAAGATGGTTTGGACTTGAAGGCAGATTTTGAGACACATTTTGGCATCGCTCATACTCGCTGGGCAACTCATGGAGCACCAAATGCAGTGAACAGTCACCCCCAAAGATCAGATAAAAGTAATGGTAAGTAATTCCTGGAAAGGAAAAGAAAGGAAAGATGGCATTCCATTTGAATAAAATAGCCAGTAGAAACAACTCTTGGAACCAGGGCATTACTATCAGTAGTTTATTTTAGAAAGGATTGGGAATTGCATCCAATTTTTTTAAAAAAACCCACACAAAGGAATGTTCTGATTTTAGCAAGGTACAGCTCCACCATTCATGCTGCGTGAAAGTTTGGGACCTGAAGCTGTGAATGTCTTTCTATCAGTGGGTTTCCATGTGCCTCTTAGCCTTCTCTGATTTTTACAGCTAAAATCTAGCAATGGCAGTATATCTGATGCAGTAGCAGAGAGAATTTCAAAAACAACTAAAGGGACTGTGAAATACTTTGCCCATTAAATGTGCTATTTTTTAAAAAATCCAGCTTTAAACTGCTTTTCGAATATTGGACTCACTTTTTCTCCTTTATTTCTTACTTTTAGAATTTGTTGTTATCCATAATGGGATCATTACAAATTACAAAGACCTGAGGAAATTTCTGGTAAGCCACTAACAACTGAATGTGTTGACAATTCCATTCCAACTGTATGGCAGGGGGAACTTTCACATGTAGAAGTGATGCTCCAATTTTCTTGAAAGATCTGCCCTTCTTTTTATATGAAAATGATTTCTGGATCCAGTGCCTTCTCAGATAGGCAGTGTTGTTCTTCATTCCTAGATAAGAAAGATACGGAGAATGGGGCAGTAAAAATACCTAAATAGGAGATATCAAGGCATAGTCTTGGCAAAAAATTAGCCTGATCACCCTCATATTGTTAGGAGACAAAGGCACTTCCATGCTACTGGTGAGAATATTGGTCAGCACAATAAATCGCTGCTTGCTTATGTTGTATAAAAAATTGAATTAAGAAATTCAGATCAAACATTTCATTTAATACATTCCAGGAGACCAAAGGTTATGAGTTTGAATCTGAAACAGATACTGAAACCATTCCAAAGTTGATCAAATATATGTATGACAACAGAGAAACAGAAGATGTGAGCTTTTCAGCTTTGGTTGAGCGAGTCATTCATCAGCTGGTAAGTGGGCGGTTTTACCCATTATTTCAGGAAGGACAACTTCAGGGGCCAATTTCACACCCCCAGAGCTATCTGTGGATTGCATGCTACCATCATACTGCTGAACTGCAGTGACATCAGCAAAATAGTTGCTTTTGCCACCAAATTTCAGGAACAAACTGCAGTGATGTTCCAAAACAGCCATACTTAGTCTTAGGCCACCTCCACAGTTTGCCACTGAAATTTGTTGGCAGGGTGCCGATTATTTTACCCATTGATCAAGCAACAAATTCATCAGTAGCAGTTCAGTGAGCAACACACTTAAATGCTAAGCAGAACTGCATACTGTCTGAGAGCCATGTGTTGCCTCCTCCACTTGATTTCCTAGAATTAATGACAATTTAGGCAATACTGAATTATGTTTCTTTATGATGCTAAAGTACTTAGTTTTGTTTTGTTGTGTTGGGAACATTTCAGTGCTTAATTATGTACTGCTTGTTAGTAAAAACAACCTCCCCTGTTTTTTTAATTATGGGTGGGATATAAATGGGAATACTAAGATACTTATTATTTGCCAAGTTCTTCCACTTGAGGATGAGATAGAAATCCATATGCAATACATTAAGCAGTAGCAATTTCTAGCAGCAATGATAGGTTTTTTTCCTTTAGAAATGCAGGATTGGAAGAGACAAAATGCAGTCCTCCTATTCCTTTCCACTGCTGCTGTTCCACCAAAGATATGTTCTTGCATTCAATCAAAAGCAGCAACAGAGGACTCTAAACTCTCCTGATTCTTTAATAGCTCCCACACCTGGATGTGGGATAAAATTATACTTCCATTGGTACTGAAGAAAGTTTGCTCCTTCATCTCTGCTAATTCAGTTCATTGGTGATGAATCTCACATGTGTTCATAGGATTCCTGACTATGGATGGATAGATGGATTATTTATTTTCATTTTGAAAAATGTTATATTGATACAGAACAACAAATGAGGGTTTTTTTCTGGAAGAGATGGTGTCTGTTTAAGATATTCTATAGGTATTGTGATACCATCCCATCTTTTCAGTTTACTTTTTTTCCCCCCCTTCCAGGAAGGTGCTTTTGCATTGGTTTTCAAAAGTATCCACTACCCAGGAGAAGCTATTGCTACCAGGTTAGTAAATATGTTTTACACACAACAGTGTATGTACAGCATAACACATGCTGGGGATATATGCAGCATCCTGTGATTTTCAATATTTAAGAGCTCATTTTCATACTGATGCAGAATTTCTTTTGTACGAACACATGAGGCTTACCCAGGAAAGGTCCCTTGGTGGATCTCTGCTTGCCTGTCTGTCTGTCTTTATCCTTCTTTTTTCATCTTGAAACTCAAGGTGGCTACATGCAGCTCCCAGGTGGCTTCTCCTCGAAGACCTGCTTAGCTTCTGACCATGTTTTATTTAGTTCCCTCATCCTTCATAAGAATTAAATTTTTAAATCCTGCTGTTCCATCATTTCACAGGAGGGGGAGTCCTCTACTTATTGGAGTTCGTAGCACATCTAAGCTTTCCACTGAACAAATCCCCATCTTATACAGAACGTGTAAGTTACTGAAGCATCGTAACATAGATGTATTACACTTTCTAGGTGAATTACAAGATAGGATGATTTGTGTGAGTGGTTATTCAATACAAAAATGCCGGTGTTGCTAGAAGTCCCATAGATCAATGTTTAGCTACTTCTGCAGTAAAGAAGAAACTGTGAGTGCTTGAGATGGATCCTTGTTGTTAATATGACACTCTGGAATTACAGTTGTGTTCCATCTTTTAAATAAACTAGCTAAAATTGACTGAGTGTATTCAGTATATTCAGGTCACTGAATTCAAAATATGATCATTCATTACACAGAAGATTTGATAGTCTAACATATAGGTGGGTGCATTCAAGCTAAAATTAACCCCGTGTGTAGCTTTCTTCCTTTGAAATTAGTAAAAGCAGGTAACTTTGGATTGTGCTTCTTGTGATGTTAACGCCATAATTCCGTTATGGTATATAAGGTCCCACATTGTATTTAAGCTTTCTGTGTTTCAACTTGATCTAGATAATTAGTAAACCTCATGTTTGTTTAATGTTTGGTATTTTATGGATTTTCTTTTAATTGATAGGCAACATTGAAAATGTAAAGAATATATGCAAAACACAAATGAAAAGATTGGATAGTTCCACCTGCCTTCATGCTGTTGGAGATAAAGCAGTTGAATTTTTCTTTGCGTCAGATGCAAGGTGAATGAAAAGATGTTTCACTGATCTGGTTCATAGTCCTGCCTTTGTAATTCAGTGGGGACTGATAGGAATACAGGAAGCTGCCTTCTGTTGAATCAGGCAATTTGGCCATTTGATGTTGCTAACAATGACTGTCAGTGGCTCTCCAAGGTTTCACGCAGAATTCTTTCCCAGCCCTCTCTGAAAATGCCATGGATTGAACCCACAAGCTTCTGCTTATAAAGTACATGCCCTGCACAGCACTTCTAATATTGCTAGGCTACTGAGCAGTCCAAGGAGGAATAATCTGAATGTGAGAACCATTGTAGGTCTAGCATGAGCATGAATCAGGGAGCAGAGGAAAAGAGAGGATTATGATTATGATGCTTCCAGTGGCTGGACATGCATCCTAGGTCCTCTGGTATGCACCAAGAGTGGCAAGGTGCCATCCCTATGTTGCGGCTGGGAACAACATAATCAATACTCCTGATTCTGCTTGGGAGCCTAAGTATGTGGAACTGTGCTGCATTGAAAACTCTAGCTCACTTGCATCTACACTTGTTTTTATTTTTGTAGTGCCATAATTGAGCACACCAACAGAGTCATTTTTCTCGAAGATGATGACATTGCAGCTGTAGCTGAAGGGAAGCTTTCAATTCATCGGTTAGAACGTTGTGCCAGTGATGACCCATCCCGAGCCATACAGACTTTGCAAATGGAACTGCAGCAAATCATGAAAGGTAAGACCTGCAGAACCTGATCCAGCCTTCCCTACCTTGCTTCCTTCCAGATGTGTTGGACTGCAACTCCCATAATGGCCAAGCTGCCTTGGAATTATGGGAGCCGCAGTCCAACACATCTGGAGAGTAGCAAGTTGTGGAAGTACAGGGGACTCTGAAAAAAGCTTTTGCCCAAGGGAACCCAGGAACTCTTGTCCTGTTCCAACCTTAGACACAGGAAACACAATGCTGAAGTTAGGGGTAGGTAGAAAAAATAGGAATGTTTTTCATCATATAAAGTGGCTGCTAAGTACAATATTTCAATATTATTTCTGTGCAAATTGGAGACATCCAGTGTACTGGTGCTTGACTATGCAGTAGATAAATTCTGGCTAATTTTAATTATTAAAATATGAGTATGCCAGTTATTTGAAACCCGTATTTCCTTCTTTCTTTGGTTTCAGACCTTCAGGGTTGCATAGAATCTTTTCGGAACACTATAAAATATGAAAATATGAACTTTCTCACCTTTATGAAGCTCTCTGAGGTGGCTTTTGCACCCACTGAAAGCAGTTGCTATAGATACTTCCGTGGCAGTTAGGACGGGTTACGGAAGGAATTAGATAGTGGAGTCCCCCTGTCAGAGTCATCATAGGATCTACATCTTTGGGAAGGAACCAAAAAGTCTTTTGGGTCCCTATGGCTTTCCAGCAATTATAAAATGACTTCCCAATAAAACTAAGTACTACCAGCAGAAAATGCAATAGCTGAGAGAGGCCTGTGTGGATAAGGAGGTCCTTTGCTAGGAGAGCAGTTATGTGGGCACCTGTCAGATGTGTCCCAAGGGGGTATTTCATAATCTGGGTAACTTAATTGATTTGGGGGGGAAAATGTGGTAAATGGCTACAGAATTTAATTATTTGTTAATAATTCCATTTGTGTATGCTAGATCGCTTTCACATCACACCTTAAGCTTAGTTATAGTCCAGTCTTTCACTTGCAGATAATTAACTTCATGAAATTGCCATTCCGCCATTGCTGTAAACTTTATTTTTGACTAAACTGTAATAATAAAATCATAATTTGAAACTAACCAGTCACATTTTGTAAAAACAGGGAATTTCAGTGCTTTCATGCAGAAGGAAATATTTGAACAACCAGAGTCTGTTTTCAATACCATGAGGGGAAGGGTGAACTTTGAGAGCAACACAGGTAATTTGGGGGAAGATTTTTTTACTACTACTACTACATTTATATCCCACCTCTTTTTGCTCTTGCAGGTAACCCAGTGCAACTTACATAGTCATCATCCCCTCTATTTTTATGCTTCTTAATATTGTGGTTACTATTTGTTAAAAATCTCAGTTGAACTAAAGTAATTTTGTTTTTGTTTTGTGGGAACTACAGTTCTTTTAGGTGGCTTAAAGGATCACTTGAAAGAAATTAGAAGATGCAGACGACTAATAATTATTGGCTGTGGAACCAGTTATCATGCAGCAGTGGCTGTAAGTTCAATATACTCTTTAGTATGTGAGCCTTCAGAGAAGACTCTCCAAAGAGATTCATAGTTTACAAGTACTGCTTAATTCTTTGTTGTCTCTCTGGACAAGAAATGCATCATCCACATGCTATATGGAATGGCTGTCCATTATAAGAATATTAACACCTAATGGATAGTAATTTAACTGTTCACAGAGTAGGTCTGCATTTTTCCTTTATGGTTGGTTAAATATTTAATTGTATTTACTTGGGTAAGAAAACAATCCTATGGCCCCTGAAGAGTATACTAGTGATCAAAAGATATTTTTTTGAGGAAATCCTGTGAGAGATCCTATTTTATTTATTAATTAGCTTTATTTCCCACTTTTTCCTTTTTGAAGAACTCAGAATTGCTTAACTTCTCCTCCTCCTCCTCAGTCCTACTTCCACAACAACAACAACAGTGTGAGGTAGGCTGGGCTGAGAGTCTGTGACTGGCCCAGAGTCACCCAGTTGGCTGCATGGCTGAGCAGGGACTAGAACCCAGATCGCCCGAGTCCCAGTCTCATACACCACACTGGCTCTCATCCCATGGTCTCTGCAGTCCACGCAAGCACACCTCCATTAAACAAGCTGGGAACCCTATCTAGAAGGAAAGCAACTGCAAAGGAAGATACAGAGATGAAAGTTGTCTCCATTGTTCCTCCTGCACCCTTGACATAGGCCAGCAGGGCACAGGGTGCTTGAAAGCCTGCTAGTATGGAGGGTTTCACCCAGCAATTCACTGATCTTAGAGTTGCTAATTGCATTATTGTTCTGTTGATTATAGACACGTCAAGTATTAGAAGAACTGACTGAGCTGCCTGTGATGGTGGAACTTGCTAGTGATTTTCTGGATCGGAATACTCCTGTATTTCGAGATGATGTGTGCTTTTTTATCAGCCAGTCAGGTAGGTTGTAATCTGCCTCACATGCCAATCTTGTCAATGTTGTTTTTGACTTTTGAATCATTCATAGTCCAGTGACAGCTTCAGAGCCAGTCCTAATTAAAGCTGTTTCCATTTTCATGACCAAACTGCTGTGATTAAAATCTAGGTGGTAATTTCTGGTTGCATTTTGTGTCATCTTGCCAGGTGAGTGGGTAAGATTAACTTGAAAAAGCAAATTGAAGAGAAACTTGATGGTACCACTTGTTGCAGGCATTGCCCAGGTTTCTGAACCAAGAAACTGCAAACACTGGTGACATCAATAATGAAGCAGAGGGAAGCACTAAGAAAGACCTGCAGTAACACGGTCTTCTCATGTAGTGTTTGAGTGTTTCTATGGATGTGGCTTAGAAATAGACTTGAACATGATAGATTAAACAGTTCTGGATTCACTGCAATCCTGAATTAAGTATAAATGTGAATGTGTTCTTGCATTGAAGGAGAAACTGCTGATACACTGATGGCCTTGCGGTACTGCAAAGATCGCCGGGCATTGACAGTTGGAATTACAAACACTGTTGGAAGTTCAATATCCAGGGACACTGACTGTGGTGTGCATATCAATGCAGGCCCTGAGATTGGGGTGGCGAGCACAAAGGTGAGTGGCATTTGCTGTCAGTGGTGGCTTTTCCTCCTTGCCTAAAGCACAGGCTGTAGCATATCTACATGGAGTGCCACCATAATACCTTTTGTGACACTATAGGAAGCTACTTTACATTGAGTCAGACCTTTCATCCATCTAGTTCAGCACAGTCAGCATTGACTAGCAGTGACTCTGTAGAGTTTTAAAGCATGAGTCTTTCCCATCCCTACCTGAAGATGCCCATGAGTGAATCTAAGGCCTTCGGGACATAGTTTGTGCCCTACCACTGAACTGTGGTTCTTCTCATTTCATCCTAATGTTAGTGACTCTTAGTATGGTTTGGCTTGGAATCAAACACTGAGCTGTCCAAATCATGTTTTTTCTTGTCCCCCCCCCCCGCCCCCGTTCTTCAGGCTTACACAAGTCAGTTTATTTCTCTTGTGATGTTTGGTTTGATGATGTCTGAAGACAGAATTTCCTTGCAAAGCAGGAGACAGGAGATCATGAATGGACTGAAGTCACTACCTGGTATGCGTATCTTTACTGTTGAGATTAATGTGGAATATATTAGGTTCTGATATGAGAAGGTTAAACTTAAACTGATATGTGTGCTGTATTGAACAATATATGTAGAGATGTGTCCTGACCTTGCATGTCAACTTTTACTTTGATGCCATAATCTTGAAAAGTGTTAATGTATGGTAGGGTTGCTTTTTATTGAATTTTTCTTTCCTCTTTTGAAAAGATACATAGAGGTTGAGCTGGTTGAGAATCAGGCACTTAGTAAATCACAGATACCTCAGTATTTAATAAAATAATTACTGTATTACACGTGGAATGGTTATATCGGAGACCTTGCTTTTCTCACCCCCCTCCAAATTCAAACTATTACACAAGGAATAATCATAATTTTAATCTATGTCCATTAAAGTACCAATTAAAGTAGCATTAAAATTATGTTGAAGTGTTCAGAATTTACAATGATAAGATCAGTTTGTACTGTGTTCAGAACCTTAAAACAACCAACCAAAATAATTATGAAGATCATTTGATGTGGCAGAGCAATTTTACAGTCCTTGGGAGACTGTTCCAGGGGCCAAGAGATATTGTGGAATTCACTCTTCCACTCCTAATTTTAGGCATGGCTGTAATATTGGGCAGGAAAAATCCATGCAGGGATTTCCACCCACTCACCCGCTATAGCTGCTATAGAAAAATTCATAGTTCCGCTTCTTCCAAAGTTGCTGTTGGTATTTCAAAGAGGATCACATGCCTTGCCGTGGAGGGAGAAGAGGCCAGGAAAGTGCAGGGGGAGGTAAAAGGAGAGGTGTGGATTTGTCCATTCTTAATCCTCTGCACTGCTATCCCTCCTACTGGGAGGTAAGGAAAGAGCGATCCTTTTGGGTTTCGTATTAAGCAGTCTCTTAAGTCTCAAATAAGACTCCAAACTGTTTTTTTTCTTCAGTTTAAAAGCAGTTAGGGGAATTGACAAAATAAATTTCTACATACCCAGTTTAAAATAGTTGTATTACTTTGCAATTATTGTTGCAAAGAACCAATAGGAAGAAAAATTATCAAATACTGGGTTTTATTTGTTAGAATATGTACAGTCTTGCTTATAACTGATGTTTTTAAATGCAAACATGTTTTTAAAATACAAAACAGCAATAATTTAATTGTCCATTTTAATCTGTTGGCAGAGATGATTAAAGAAGTACTGTCCTTGGATGAGAAAATACGTGATTTGGCACTTGAACTATATAAACAGCGATCGCTTTTGGTCATGGCTCGTGGCTACAACTATGCCACTTGCTTGGAAGGTGCATTGGTATGAATCCCTCTTAATTTTTTAAAATGCAGACAAAACACATTTGTATATAGTAGCTTGGAAAATTCAGAAAGGGGGAAATTTCTTGGTGACTGTGTCATCAACAACCCCATCCCCCACCCCCCATATTAGGGGTTTTTTAGCCAGATGTCCAGAATTCATTTTTGAGTAGTTCTCGTGTCGGGCTCATTCCAGTGGTGGATGTTGCTAAACGTAAAACGGGTGGCAACAAAACCCCCAGCATACGTATTTTAGTTCAGAGTTCTCGTAGCCAGTAAGTGAGGCCCTAGGAGAGGCATTTTAACCTTTTTGAATGGGGAACACTGCTCAAAAGCCTGGAACATATCAAACCAATGGTGATCAGAGGAAAGGGGTTGTGGCCATCTGGGAATCTCTGATAACAACCCTTGCTATAGTTTGACTTCTGTTAATTAAATCAAGACATGTGCAGAACAGTTTCATCTGTTTGTATTTCTTGTTTATTGAGGTTTATCATTTTAGTCCAGAAAGATCACCGATCTTTCTCTTTTGCATCTAGTCATAGGATCTCTGCATGTATATATGTCAGGATCTAATATTTTTAAATAATGCCAGTGGGCTCTCCAAGTAGCCTTCAGAGCCTGTCTGTCAGTGTTCTATACCTGCACCTAATTATTTTGAACAGCATAACAGATGGATTCTGTCCAGTACTTTGACTATAATCTTGTTCCATCTGCTTTTTAGAAAATCAAGGAGATTACATATATGCATTCGGAAGGCATCCTGGCTGGAGAACTGAAGCATGGACCATTGGCTCTTATAGATAAACAAATGCCAGTTATTATGATCATTATGAAAGACCCCTGCTACACAAAGTGCCAGAATGCGCTACAGCAGGTCACTGCCCGCCAGGTAAGTTGTCAGATTAGCACATTATTTTATTTATTAGACTTTTATCCTGCCCGCATCACCATAAGGCTCCCTTATCTTTATAATGAGGATCTTCTGTCTACTTCCTGCTAATAAAATCATGATTGTCTTGCAAGATCCTAGTCAGGTAACATGTACACAAGTGTGTACTGCATGTTCCATCCAGGAATGGGCAGAGCCCATTCAGTTAGTTGACAATAGTGACTCACCATTTAAGGAGTGGGCACATTGAGGAGCACTCTCCACTTTTCCTTAATGGAAAATCAGGACTATTAGGATCCTGGATAAGATTTTCTTCATTTTTATTTTTATTTTTTTGCATCCAACTGGCTCTGAGGGCATTACATAACATTAAAATTTGGAATGAACTTCTTCCTGGCATTTTCATTGGGAGAGTGAACAGTGACGTCTCATAAGAATCCTGCTGAATTAAAGCAGGATCCCATCAAGTCCAATATCTTATTTCCCACACCCAGCAGCAAGCAACTAGGGGCATCTAGGAAGCTTACTGTGATGAAGGCAAGAATCCTCCCATGTTGTCCATCCCAAACATCTTCCATTCTGAGATATACTGCCTTCGAATTTGGAGCTTGCTTTTTCTATCATGGTTAATGATTACTGATAGACAGACTTAGGGAATTTAGACCTAACCCATCAGTTGTTGACAAATTTCCTAACTTTATTATGTGAAGAACGACTTTCTGAATCTGCTGCCAGTCAGTTTCACAAGATGATTCCAATTTCCAGTATTACAGGAAAAACTAAGAGAAAAAGGAGTTGTTTCTTCTATAATGGTCACCATTGTGCCTCCAGACAGACATCTTTCTTAGAGTTTGCTGAGGTGCTCTTCCTTTCCCACGTACATTAAAAAAAAAAACTTATCAGAAATTGGTATCAATGCAAATAAACTGAGGACATCTAACTGTTCCCACCTTCACTTTGCATGAGTTTCCCTGAGCCACACATTGGTATCATTCCTAGGAAATGAAGACAGCAGGGAGCTGCCAACCAATGTTTTGCTATACAGCCTGCCCAATCACCAAGAAAAATGGGGGAATGATGAAAAGATTCCTGTCCTTTTCTAAATTTCATGCAGAGGCTGCCTGCATGTTTCCAGGTGTAAATCAAGGTGCAGGTTTTACTCTAGAATGCCTTATATTGTTTGGAACCACACTATGTGCCAGAGCAGTTCTCTAGGCCTAAATCTACCTGGGCACTATGCTCAACTTCTGAGGCCTTCCTCCAAGAGCCACCTCTCTCAGGCTTGGTTGGTGCCAATAAGAAAGAGGGTCTTGTAAGTGGTGGACCCCCAATTCTGGAACAGTTTTTATACTGACGCCTACCTGGTGCCAACTCTGCTATGCTTTTGGTCTCAGGTTAAGACTGGCCACTCTGCAGAAGCACTGAACTGCTTTTAGGCCATATGGAGATGTGGCTGTTAGCTATTTTTAACAGATCTAGTTTTATTAACTTGTTACATTGTTTATATTCAGTTTTTAATTTTTTTGTAGTAAATTTTATGATGTTTTACCATATATGCACCTGTATTTTATTGTATTCTGTAAATTTACCCTGAAACTTTGCTTAGTGGATAGTGTAGTAATGGCATAAATTTTCCCCACTCAGTCTGTTTAGTTTTTCCTTTTAGGAAAAATGTGGTATTCCAACCCCTTGATCATTTTGGCTGTCCTTTCTGGCCCAATCATTGGCCCTACTTCCTTTGGCCTGTGAAAGAAAATTTTCTTGGCATTTATGTATAGAGTTCTAGATGGAACAGAGAAGGAAAGATTCGAAACAGTTTCTGGTCCATTTTCAGCCTAGGGAAACGTGTGCAACAGACATTAGTGCAAGTGCATTATGCTGGATCTAGGGTAATTTATTTAACGTTCTTAATGTTGTCTATACAAGTTTGGGATTGCTAAAAGAGCTTTTGGCTATTGGGTGGTATAAAAATGAAATAAGGTTTTTTTGAGGGAAGAATTTGAAACGTAGGGATAGCTTGACCTAAGACATTTTACATCTCTGGTAATAAATCATTGGGTTTTGTTTTTCCTTTGTACTATAATGTTTACCAATGGTGCTGCTGCTAAAGTAACATGTTACAAGCTAAAAATATGCTAACTTTAGATTTAAGCCATGAATTCAATTTATTATGGGTTGGATCCAGCTCCTTCTGCACTCCATTCTGCAAGAGTCACGTCATGCACAGGTTCTTCTGGCACTGAGTGGGGTGAAGACACTTTTGTGGGAATTAGGGGACTTCTACCAATCAAAGTCACATTTCTGAATTAGCATTTAGCCAGTCCTTTTTTAAATCCTAAATTTAGTTATATTAAAATTCTTGCTACCTGTTGAAGAAATGTCCTAAATAGGTAACAAATAAAGGTGAAATTAAAATATACTGTAAATATTTCATCAATATTATTTTACTTTTCTTTCTTTATAGGGACGTCCTATTATTTTATGTTCTAGAGAAGATACTGAGAGTTCTAAATTTGCCTACAAAACTATAGAATTGCCACAGACAGTGGACTGCCTGCAAGGAGTTTTGAGTGTTATTCCTTTACAGTTGCTTTCATTCCACCTGGCTGTTCTCAGAGGATATGATGTAAGTTACTTCTATATTTAGGCATTCCAATTAAAGCACTTATACAAACATACTTGGATACTTCCTCTGTTTCTTTAGATGGGAAACTAGAATGACTGTAGAGCATTTAAACCAAGAACTAGTTCTACAATCAATTTGGAAATTTACAGTGAATTTGATTTCATTTATTTTTAATTTGGAGTATAAATTCTGCTAAAAGAGGAACAAACTACTTTTTATGAAAAAATGCTCAAGGAGCACATGTAATTTTGTTTGACATAGTCCCACCATTTTGGCAGGGATCCATGGAGCACTATGTATGGTTTTGCTGAGTGGGGATATGAATTTCTTAAATGGAAAATGCCGTTAAAAATGGTAATAGCTTGAGAATCTTTTTTTTATTCCAGGTGGATTTTCCAAGAAATCTGGCCAAATCCGTGACTGTGGAATAAGCCTTGTGCCAGAGAATGAGCATTCCCAGTAATCCTAAATTGTGTTTCTGTTAATAACTATTCAACCACCTGTTTTCATTACTTTGACTTCAATGGGATTTTGATACTGGAAACCTTGAGTCAATGCTGTGACTGGAAAGCATTTGGAAGCGTGGTGTTGTTCTCTAAAGATCTGTTTAATGTGCCTTAAATATTTGTTATATGCCTTGCACCTAAGTGCTCTTGCTTACAGCATATAGCATAATTGAAATGACAAAATTGCCAAAGAATGGAAGAAAAAAATTGTTTACATATAGTTAATGAACAGTGTTTTTAACAACTGTGCAATATATGTATATAGCTTTTTTTCCTGAATTACTGTGAATAAATCAACACTATACATGCAGCCCAATTCTATACATGTTAACTCAGCTGTAAGTCCCTCTGAAATCAGTAGGATTTACTTCCAGGTACCCCTGTATAGAATTGCTGCCTTACTTTTAAATACAAAGTATTTATATATGCATCAGTGTATAGTACATAAGTTATTTTTAGTGTACTGGTTGCTTGTAGTAGTAATAATACCCAGGATTTAATGGGGTTCATTAAGATTTTACAAATTGTATATAAACTCTTTTACTCGTTTGCATTTGTGCCATTATTTCCCTACTTCCAGTCTGCAGTTAAGTGATTGAGAAAACATTCCTACGTCTCTTCACAGATCCTTCCATTCATCTTGCATGTATATATTTTCGCTACTTTTGCACTGTTGAGAAAATTTCTCAGTTCAGATTTTGTTCTGTTTTTCTACTTTAAAATCTCTTAATCTAACAAAGCATTTTCTTTGAAGCAAACCATCCTTATCATGAATAGTTTTGTTTAATCCTTAAAGGCTATTAGATATTTTGTGGCCTTTATGATTCTATTTAATTGTTGTATGACCAAATGCTATGCAATTAAACAAAAAACCTGACTACAAAAGGCTTTTTACCTCAGTTTTACCTGATTATAGCCAAGAATCTTTATATTAAAGGGCCATTTTACAGCATTCCGTCACATGCTGTGAACATTCTGTAATGCTCTAAAGCAGAGATGAGAAATATCTGGACTATGGAGATTTCCTGTCCTGCCCTCAGAGCTTCCTTGGATAGCTGAAGGGGGCCAGCTGGAGAGCCTCTGTAGGTTTGCTTTATAGTGTTACATAATTTTGGGAAACTGTAGCTACTCAAGACAAGCCCCCTAAAAATGCACATCCAAGGTGAGTCGAAAAATGCAGTCATATACATTGATCTTTCTCATGTGCATGCACACATGCACCATTCCAGAATTTTGGAGTGGAACGACCTGGCTTCACATCCTAATCAACCTTGTATCCTGGCTGGGCAACTTTAGGCCAGTCACTTGCCCAGCCTAGCCCATCCCACAGCAATATGAAGATAAAGTTGGAAGTAAGGATAACCCACACTCATATGTTACCTGGAGCTCACTAGAGAAGGATGGGATACAAAAGTGAGCAACAGTATTACACCATGTGGTATGCAATTTGCCTCTCCATGTCTTGGCAAGGCTCATTTCGAACTGATTATAAGATCTTGTTAGGACAATTGTTTTACTTTCTCGCACATCTTTAATGTATTTTTAAAATAGCAAGTGAATGAATGAATGAATGCAGCACACAGCAACGTCCAGACACAAACTCCTCTTTATCATTCCTCATTACAGTAGACAGCAGCACACAGTAAACAGAAACTCATTCACACAAAATGGGAAAAGAGGCACAGAGATTCTCATTCAGATACAACAAAAGCAAGAAAGGGGCAGTCAGTCAGATATAGGAAGGGGTTTGAGGGCCTTCTTTCACCCTCCCTTGGTTTACAGGAGCAAGGAGAAAACGGAATGAGAAAAGGAAAGAGGGACACAAGATGTCACCAAACAGTATTAGGTCAATAGCTCAATCTTCCAAGAGTTTCTTTTCTCAGAACCATAGAGAAGTTCTTTCTCAAAGTCAACAACCTAGTTTTTTCCTGTAAACCTAACAGACCTTAATTGTCAATCCAAGAGTAAGCCACCCTAAAATACTGTGCAGTCCAACAGGCATGCCTCACAACATGGACATAAATTCAAGGTGAAGAAAAATCTAGAGGATATTGATTAGCCTTGAAAGGTGGATGGACGTTTCATGGTCAGGAACATTATCTCTGCTTTCCCAACCTGGTGAACATCAGATGTGGGCAGACTATGTGGTCCTGAAGATGAGACAATGATATTCAAACAGCTTATGGGTTAACAATAAACCAGCTTTTTGTACAATAAGCATATTGATTTCAAGATGTTCCGTAACTTACTTTCTTAGTGAATGAAACAATGTACACCCAGCCCCCCCAGTTAGGAATGTCCAAGTTAAGAACAACGAGCAAATCCAGAAGTCTCACCTCATCCTTGAGCATCAGGTGGGCGCCTACAGGTGTCAGGTGGCAAAGAGGAAGGAAGGAGAAAGGGAAGGACTGTACTTTGACCAGTCTTCATTTCTCTCAGAGTAATCTTTCCCTTCTGCACTCAGGTTTTGGTCAGCTTCTCTCTCTCCTTTGTAATACTTGACAGTATTCGGTTTTGACTCTCCCAGGTCCCTAAGTATGCTACTTCCTTAAAAATCGTAAATGCTTTTCACAGCACTACATAGGATTCTAATGAGAAAGCTGCACACTTCTGCTTTCTCTCTCTCTCTCTCTCCTCACACATCCAAACTCCGCCCACACAGTCTCAGTCACCAACCAATCACCTCACCCTTCCCCCCCTTTTAGCCCCCTTGCTATTCTGAAACTTACCAACAATTTAAGGAACACGTACAGAACACTTTAAATAATTACATGGTTACTTTCAGTCTTTTGCACTGGAGAAAAAGCTACAAAATATATCTAACACTTATCAACTCCATAAGAAATAATTTACGTCCCCCAAAACCTACAGATTGTCAGCTCCAAATCACTGTGGTGGGGGAAATACTCTATTCTCTTTAGCTTGGAAGGGTAAGGTCTCCAGTACTGCAGGTTTTATATTGCAACTGCATTTTAATCCAGAGAGAGAAACCTGAAAACAAGTGGGGAGAAGTGTCACAGGGAATCGGGAAGGATGGAAGAATATTTCGGAAGAAAAGGAGGAAGGATGTAGCAAACATACTGTTGGTATTTGCGGAAAGCCCTTCACAATCGCTCTGGCGCTGGGCCAAATGTACTAGTCCTTTCCAGAAGCCTCTGGAACAAACTGAGGGTGGGCAACGATTCCCCCCCCCCCCAGCCTTTGTTCCTTTGCAAAAGAAGGTGGGATGAGAAGGGACCATATAGGAAAACAGCTTGGTCTTACAAGGTGCCAAGGATGGTTTACTTGCTCTACCCCTTCTGTTGCATTTTAAAAGCCAGCTCTCAACTTCGAGACGTGTTGGCTGAGCGAGCACAGCCAGCTGCTCTGACAATTGCCTTTAAGAGAAGCTGGAACTAGGGAACGAGCGCTCCCGCTTCCTCTCTGCTCACTGAAGTCTGTGTCGCCCTCCAGCTTGGGTGAAAGCAGAACCCGCCCTAAAGGTTGCAAGAAGCCAAATGTGGAGGGTGGAAGGCAGAGGGGACTGCGCTGCTGCACCCCCTCGTGCAGGATAGGGAAGGGGCCAACAAGTGACGTTAGAGATCCAGCTGTCTATTGAATGCTCGGATTATGTCTCCCCGGGACTAAATACCGCTTAGTATTGGCCTCAGTGTAAAGGCTGCACTAAATAGCCTCTCGCTAGTTTTGCAAAGCCTTGGACGCTTGTTACTAAGAATACATTTCGAAGGAAAGTGTATAGTGCTCCTAACCTATAATGTGAGAATGACGTTTCCTTCCTCTGACTACAGTGCAACTAATCCTCGAGTATTTCATTCGCCTTTAATGCCAGTTAATTCGGCCTCAGAGAGAACAAGCACACACAGCGCTGAGAAAGTGTGTCATTAGTAACGATGGCATTTCCCCATTTAGAATGTTATATGGAAAGACGGTCCGCTGCGGCATATTCCCGTAGAATGAGATTTTGAATCTCGCCTGTTCTCCACACAGGTGACGTTACCTCGAAGAACATCCCTCCTCGTCGCGGAGGAAGTCGCTTGCAGACCGCTCGTTTATATAGCAGCCTTTAAAACCCGCCTCCGAAGGTTGGTTGGCTGAATCTTGGACACGTTAGGTGTTGGTTGGTCCCCGTGGATGTCTGTCCGCATGCTCGTGCCTGGTGCGGCCTGTGAGGGGCTGAGGGAGGCCATTGCGGTTGAAGAGTCTCTGAAAGCTCGATAAGGAGTCGAGGCGGTTGAGCGGCTCGCCTGGGGGCTTTAGAAGAGGTGAGGCGAGCGCCAGAGCTGGCGTGTAGGGGAGGAACCGCCGACGGGCGCGGTCGCTGAGCGGGGCTGTTGGTGGTGGGAGGCGCTGGAGGGGGGCAGTTCGGGAGCGGTAGCTGCGCCGACCACCCCCGTTCTCGTAGGTGGCCGCCTGGTGACTTCTGCCGCTCACCTCCACGCAGAGTTCTTTCTGGCTGTAAGTTTCCCTGCTGCTTTGCAGGCCCCTCGGCCTCATGGCCCAGCGGACAGCCTCACCGTTTCTCCCCACCGTTTCAGGCCCTAGCCTGCTTCCTGCCTTCGCCCTCCCCGCCCCCCGTTGTTCCCACGACGCGTTTCTTTTTTGCAACCAAAAGGAAAGCACTCTGGGGCTGGAGGAGGGGGCATCGCTCCGTGGTTAGGAACCTGCCTTACTGGAGCAAACTCCAGGCTCATTCCGTGGCATCTCCGGGGATGGAAAGAGCCCCCTTGTCTGCAGTCTGGGAGAGCTGCTGTCAGTTGAAATAAGACAGTCCTGGGTTGGCTAGACCACTGCTATGACTCTGGATATGGTGACTGCATATGTCCGTATGCAAGCAATCCTTGTCCCTCCACCTTCGTTTTCTTGGGTGCCACATTCATCCCCATCTATTGTGATTTGCAAGGAGGAGAAGCTTGGGATGTAGCTTGTTCAGGGTGCTGGGTTTAGGCTAAACTCTTCCTGTGCAGAGGCTGAACTAGATGACTCCCACATTCTCATTCTTGAGCTAGTGTAAATCTTGCCACTTTCCTCCTACCCTCACATTTCTTCTTTTCAAGGGCGAAAACTCAGGTGATCATGCCACAGACTGATATATATGAAAAGATGGTTTCATTAGCAGAGTAGGGTTATCGGTCCCACTGGATAGATTAGAAGAGAGGGTTATGAGTTCAGTTCTATATATCATCAACATCCTCATTATGATCATCATCTGTTTTATGTTGTACCATTCAATAGTTGAAGCTGTCTGGGTGGTTCACAACAAATTCTCAAAAATACAGAACAAAATTCAGTAAAAATAACATTTCTTAAGAAGTAGAATCCATTGATTTCAATTTACTTTGAAAGCAATTGTTGGCTAATAATTTTTATATATATCTTCCATTTCAAATGAGTCACAGCAGACTGTTTTTCAATAGGAGCAGAGGGGGGTCAACAGTATAATCAGCATTTTTTACTTAATAGCACATCTAGACTCATTATCAGTGCTGCTTTTGATGTCATACTTCTCTGCCTTAAAATTAGGATGACATACTACTGTTGGTGTGTCAAATTGTTGAGGTTGTGTAAGGGTTGTGATTACTGTTTTAAAATGCAGAATTTAAGTATGCTCATTGTATCACTTTTTCATTTCATGTGCCAAAATATAATTGAAATTACTAGGAATGATATAGGTGGCAATGTACTAATTTAAAGGACAGTTGTTGGTAGAATTAACTTTGTTTGCAGTGACATCTGTTTTTGTTCTTTCATACAGGGTTTTCTATGGGATGTGCTTCTCTTCTACCTTTTTATCATGATTGCCATTTGTATAGCACTTTCTACATTTAAAAGTGCATTACAGTTTTTCCAGTCTATTGAAAGATGTCACTATACTCATTTTTATACAGTGGGAAAATGATGCTGGGACCTGTTGAAGGCTACCTAATAAATATATAGATAAGCAGAATTAGAATCATGGATAGTCAAATTCAAATCCAGTACTGTGACTGCTGACATATATTGTGGAGCTGAATTGCTACACTTTTGAAGGAACAAACCCTACCGAATCGTGTAGGACATGCAGTTCAGTCTTGTGTAAATTCTCTCAGAAGTTAAGTCATATTAATTTCAAAGAGACTAAACTCTCCAGTGGGCATAAGAGTGTAGCCCTAGAAGCTCTTTGTATGTTGAATTTATACACAAGAGTTTATCATGTAGGAGCAAGAGAATGAAACCTGAATGTAGAGCATGATAATATATCTCACATTTGTTTTATGGTGTGAACACATAGTGGAAAACCAGAATTGACTCTTGCTTTCCAGTATATACATACACTGTAAAGGGTATCATTATAAATGTTTTTATTATTCCCTACACATGTGTCTATCTTAAAAGAGAAATATAATGAATGAAGTAGCCTTAGGTTATATGCATATAAAAGTACATATAAAACCACAGCTTAAAGAATGGCTAATTTATCAATTGCAAATAACCATGCTGTTTCATTCTTGCAGTTGTAAAAACATGAAAATTTACATTTTACTTTAGCAAGTATGGAATATATATTTAATGTTGATGCTTACCTTGCATGCAGGATAAGCTAACTGAATCATTCCCATGTACTGCCATCCAACACAGCTGCCTGTAACCATATGGGCTCAGAGGATTGTGGGCAACTAATGGAGGGTAGGAAGTACGTGGAAGCAAGAATTGCATCTGTACTTTCCTTGCCCTGCAAATACTTAGTGGCTGATTTCAGCCACCAGAATTTCTTGTATCCTGGCAGAGCTTAGCTTATACTTGTGTGTTCAGAGCCATAGCCAGTACAGAAAGAATTGTGCTGGTCACTCGGGCACTCCAGGTTCAGAGCCCCAGCACTAACCTTGGAGTGTTTTTCTAAGGCTGGAGCTGGTGCTCCATATTTATCTGTGGCTATCTAGTCAGTATCTAGTGCATGGGTCCTCAAACTGCGGCCCGCGGGCTGGATCCGGACCGCCATAGCTCGCCACATGTGCGTGCACAGAAAGGCAGGGGCATGCGTGCGCAGAGATCATTTTCTCCCAACAAGCCCAAAACTATCTCCCCCTCGCTCGGAGAAAAGGATCTCCCAGCAAGATTTTGGCTTGCTCGCAAGGAGATCCTTTTCTCTGAGTGAGTCCAAAATGCTCGCCTTGCGAGCAAGCCGCCCCTGAGGCTCTGGCTTGTTTGCAGGGAGATCGTTTTGGACTCATTGGGAGAAAATGATGTCTGCGCTTGCATGCCCCTGCCTTTCTGTGTGCGTGCATGCCCCCCCCCCCACCCGTGTCCCCTGCCGACACAGCCTTGGCAGCCCGCACCCATCACTGGCACCTTTCAACTGGCCCCCTATTCAGAAAGTTTGAGGACCCCTGATCTAGTGGTCAAAGGATTACATTTTTAATCATATAAGCAAACTAAAGAATTTCAGTCCTTTAAATACTGTTTGACATTTTTCTATTCAGAGAATCTTGTGATATGTTACCTGAAGATTTTCACGGTGCCCCACTTTGCAGATCAGTGCAACAAATTATGAGTTAATTAACCTATGTGTGGAATATACATGCTGCACATAGACTGCTTCCGCATTGAAACACAATCCATGAACACCCTACAACTTAAAAAATCTATGTTTTATTTAAATAACTCTGGGTTGATTAGCCCATGAACAATCCAGAGTGTGAGATGTCACTCAGCAGCCCAGGAATGGACCATTGGTAGGTTGTTCATGCAAAATGGAAGTGGCTCACTCATGTTTCAGCAAATCATGAGTTAATTGCTCCATGGTTTACTGTTGTGACATGTGATTCAGACCTGTGTATCATAACATGCTCAGTGTTCAAAGCATTTTGCAGTCTTTTGTCCTTACAATGAGGACATAAGCTACTACTTGGTGCATTTGTGGTGGCACTTTACGGCAGGTTTATTCCTGGATGTTTTCCAGTCCCTGTATGATTCACTTTTGACCAGCTGTAGTTTGGTGTTAAATGACCACTGGAAGATTCTGCAGTAGTTTATGCTTGTTTTCCTTGGGCTATTTGAGAGAAATAATGTGAAGATTTCAGTAATAGTAGCCAAGTGCTCATATCCTAGATAGAATGGATTTCCAAAAAGCCCATTTTCAACAGTTGTTTGTCATCTTTTTATGAAGTGGTATATGGAATAGCTGCAGTTTTCTTCTTACCCTTGGACAAAGCAGAAGGAGCACCAGACGTTTACTCCCTGTTGATGGCTGTGCCATGCTGGGTCAGATCAGTGGTTCATCTACTTAAGCATTCTGTTTACACAGTGGCCAACCAGCTGCCCAACGGATCTCACCTGCAGGATATGAGTGCAACAGCAGCCTCTCATCCTAGTTGGTAGCAACTGGTATACATAGACATTTTACCTCTGCGACTAGAGGCAGCATATAGCCATCAGGACTAGTAGCTATTGATAACCTTCTCCACAAATTTGTCCAGTCCCCCTTTATCCATCCAAATTGTGGCCATCACTGCATCTTGTAGAAGTGAATTCTATTACTTAACCATGTACTATGTGAAGAAATATTTCCTTTTATTTTTCCTGAATTTTCTTGCTTCAACCCTTGGATCATTTTAGTTGCACTTTTTCCAGTTGTACAATATCTTTTATAGTTGTGTTGATCAGAACTGGAATTGTAGACCATATTCTATGTGTAAACAGAACATAGATTTGTATAAGGGCAGTATGACAACAGTGGTTTTATTTTCAATGCCTTTCATCATTTTTATATTTTTATTTTTTAAAAAAAATACAAAGTACAATTAAAATTAAAATTAATCTCCCCTTCCAAAATTGCAATGACACTTGTAAAGATTCAAATCCTTTCCATTTTTTAAACACAGATTCAATAAATGTACCCAGATATCAAAATTATGTTGCTTTATTTACCCTTAATATCACAAATTAATTTATCATTAATAGCTATATTCTAGACTTCTCTATACCAATCACACAATTAATAAACATATTTTACTTTCCAGTTCTTAGCTATAATTAATCTCACAGCTATTGTTAAATTTGTTGTTCTTTATTATTCCAACTCCATTTTTATTATCAAATATTGAGAGTAATGCAGTTTCTCAATGACATTCCTAATTATGCCTAACATGGAGTTTGCCTTTTTCACAAGCAGCTTCACACTGGGTTGACATTTTCATTGAGCTGTCCATTATAACCCCAAGATAATTTCTTAGTCATTCACTGCCATCTTAGATCCCATCATCTTATACTTAAATTGGGAGTTTTAGTTCCAACATGCATTACTGTTTACTTGCTTATACTGAACCACATTTGTCATTTTGATGGCCATCATTCACTTGAGGCTTCTCACAATCACTTCTGAGTTTAACCATTCCACATAGCTGACATTAGCAAACTAGGTCTCTTCACTGCTCACTTCTAATTCCAGATCATTTGTGAATAAGAATTGAAATGTGTTATTATTGAAGTGTAACTACTGCTGTGTAACAGGTTCTTTGTACACTCATTCTTTGCTCCCATAATGATGTTCTGAAGGCTTGTATAAATTAGGTGCTCAATTATGAATTTGGTCCAAGTCTGAGTCTTACTACTTATGGCCTTGAATCTCTTTTAGGAGAAGTCTTTTTTGAGATATTTTGAATATAGCAAGTTGACTGAAATCTTGATGGAAAAATGAATTCAGCACCAGTTTATCTAAAGAAAGACACTCAAATATATGACATACAGCTTTTAAAATAGTGAACATGATTTTGAAGTGCTGTCACGCTTCAAGCTCTGAAAAAAATAATGACTCTTCAAGTTTGTAGTAGAAGCAACCTGTGCCTCATACTGATTGGCTGGGATGCGTCTTATGGAGTAACTAAGGACAACCATCTCCCTCAGTTGCAGAGTAGCTTTGCACTTTATCTGTTTGTGCGTGCATGTGTCTTTAAAGCACAAATGGATAAGCTGTTAAAAAATAAATCTGGCAATCCAGGTAAAGGGGTCATACTATATCAGTGAATCAAGCTGGGAGGATGAGAAAGGATCAGCTTATCCTGTGATTGAGGTATACTATCATGTTTTATGTTATATCTGTTCCTGTTACTCTAAAGCTACTTTAGTATGTAAGTGGGATGTTTTGGTTCTGATTCTATGACAACTGATTGTTGGGTATGCCAAACTTGTATGTACAGGCATTGATTTTGGTGGAGACTATTATAACTTGTTAATATTAAGCTTGATCTAAAAACAGTTTAACTTGCCCCTTAGGGATTGGTACTTCATATCATAATTGGAATACCTCACAACAAGAGAACCAATGTGGAGTAGTGGTAAAGAGTGCAGGACTGGAACTCAGGTGTGCTAGTTCCCATTCAGCCATGATGCTCACTGAGTAACTTTGAACCAGCCACAGACTCTTAGCCCAACCTATCTCATAGTATTGTTGCTGTAAGAATAAGCTTGAAAGGAGAATTATGTAAACTATCTTGAGTTCCTTGGAAAGAAAAAAAGGTGGGAGATAAATACAGTAAAAATCACCCCCTGCAAAATATATGTGTATATGCGCAAAACACAAACTATTTGAACTTGTTTGGCTTCTGCTGTAACTAAAATTATCTTGGGCAATAACGTTTAGTAGCCAGTTGTACATATCTAGAATAGTTAACTTTCACGCTGGAATTTTGACCATATTATAAACCTGAATTTCATATGTAGTAATAGTGATAAATATTTGGTTACATCTAATAATATTAAATGACAGAATACCCTACAATGTGAGGTTCTGGACTGGGACCCTGTCCTGCCTTCAGGTCCAAGTTTGAGAGGAGACCTGTGTTGTGCTGGTTGCTTTACAGTTCTCCCTCAAAAGCGAAGTGTGACACAGAAAAGTTCCAATCTCTTTTCTGAATTTGGAGCTGGGAAAGGGGCTGTTGATTGTTGCTGACCTTGTGCTGGAATTTTTTGGAAGTTCCCTGGGTACACCTTAGGTTCAAAATCACAAATGGACAAATGTGAACCCTGGGAAAGGTGCAGGTGAGAAGGGCTTACTTGTGACATTTATTGTCATAACGGAGCCATAGTCTTGTAAATACTCTGTTTAGTATTGTTTAGAGACCTTGAATGATTTTGTAAAAATTGGAAAGGGCCATTCCTGTTAGAGGGGGAGTGGAGAGGGTAAGATCTGGAGATATTTCTATTGCTCAACCCCTCAGTGTTGGTAAGCGAGCAACACCCATCTAGCTGCATGTGGGGAAGTAGAACTAGGAATGGGAGGCAAAAATCTTCCTCCTGAGGTTGTAGCAGCAAGGTAGGGGCATATAGTATGATCCTTGGCATGCTCTCAGGGGGCCATAGGATTACTCCTTTAGATTTGGGACCCTCCTTTAAAATAAATTTCATAAAATTGGAATGGATATTATGCAAGGAACAGGAAGAATAACTAAAATATATAATATTCTATGGAGAAAGTCTGAAATTAATTATTTGAAAAGAGGAACGTTTTGATGAAATGCTTGAAATTAATAATAGCAGGTTGCTTTAGATGGTAATATCTTAATGACGCAAGATGAATTTAACATGTATCCCATATTCTTTGTACTTATGAGAGATAGTCAAATCCTTTTGTTCTTAAGTTGCATAAATTATTTCAAATAAAGCAGGCCATCGTAGTAAGAGGTTTTGTAGTGATAGAGGAATTGGTTTATGCATCAGTCAGGAAGGGATTAACCGGGAAAGTACATACAATTCTTAAGAAAAGTGCAAAGTAAAAGACCCATGAATTATCAAAAGGAATGAGAAAAGGTCCTGAGTATACCCATAGGAAAAATGTAATATGTAATAGGCCAAGTACTGATTGCAGGAAACTTTAAAGAAACATTTTATGAAATGATTATATCAAATAATAGTTGTGTCCATGTTTTAAACATATTATGGATGGATTGCTGGGTAGGTCATAGATTTGTTGGAGTCCTAGCTCCTAGATCCTTTAATGTCCGAGGTGGGACTCTGAAGGTCAAGATTCCACCCTGCTCCTTATGGCTGGAATAGAACTGTGCTTTCTGCCCACCCCAAAGATTGCACCATGGTAGAGAGGGCAGAAGGCTGGGACTGAGGACTTAAATCAGTTCCTGTCAGTATTAAAAGGAAAAGTTTTTGCGAGTTTATATAATATTATTCTGACCAGATTATGAATTACAGTATTCCAAATGAACTATGAAGAGATCATCTGAGGGAAGAGGGCATAGACTCTCCTATAACTTGGGATAACTATTCAGAGGGGAAGTGCTGAGGATCTACTGTCCCCTTGACTCCAGTGGATGCATTCAAATGCTGTATCTGCACACAGAGCATAGGATGTTTGGAATTCCTGCAACATCATGAACATGAATAGGATTGCTCTGAAAGAAAATTATATGAGTTGCTGTGTTGATAAAGTTGAGAAGATCACAATTTTTTAATCAGCAGCTAAGGTGTCATACGCTATTTATTAGAAGGAGACATTTGGTCTAGATTTTTCAGATTTATTTTACAGGATTTCAGGTAGTGCCGTAATATTTAAACATTATGTCTAGGCATATGAAAATCAAATATAAACATGTATTATCTTCAATTTTCATTTACTTTTGAATTGATAAATTTATGGATGATGTGTGTTCCTATTCATTATTTATGTTAGTATTAAGAATCAGTCTGTATAATTGTTTTTAACGTTAACAGTCACTAGTTGTGTAAATTTCTTCCAGATGAGTATTTGTGGCAAAAAACAGTGGGAGTCTTGTGATGTTTTAAAGACTAGCACTTTATTTTATGCATATTCTTTCATGGATTTGAGTCTATTTCATCAGATGCAACTAATGTTAGAGATCATCAACAGTGTGAAGTCCTGGAATGTTGAAATATTCTCAGTATTGAAATTAAGTAATTTTTTGAATTGCCTTTTCTGATGTCAAACCATATGCCTGTTTATTCTCTTACATAGAGATTGACCTGTTTGTCCTGTGCTGAATGCAGAAAAGCTTTGCTGCCAGATGATATATATAACACTAGAAGATAAGTAAGTGACTATGCCCTTGATATTCTGGCTTACATTATTCAGACTTACACTAGTGTTGCTTGGATAGATATTGAGACAAAATTGGCATCCTTGTATGTTTTGAGGTTTGGTCCCTGTGTTTGTATCTTTGTTATATAGCCTGCTACTTATGAGCAGTTCTTTTAGATTAAAGGATTGTCTGTAAAACAGGACAGGCCTACCACCTAAAACCTGTGATTATTATTGTCCAGGATGGAACTGAAACTATGAAACAGTCTTATGTCACTTTACTACATAATATGAACTAGATTAATACCCAACTCACATGTCATGGTGGCAAATCATGGATTAGTTAACCCATGATTTTTGGTGACCAACATGAGGTATTTCTGCTTACCTTAAACACCGCCAAGTCTGCATGACCTGGTTTGCTTAAACAATGAAGATAGGGGAAAAATTGAAGTGACCATCTCAAGGCTTGAACTTGACAGCCAGGTCAATGGTTTGGCGTAAACTGACTAGAAACTTTAAAACTTATATTTAGAGATTTGTGTTGCTTTGCTGCAGGTACTCTTTTTACCCCAATAATGCATTTACAGAGAATCTGGTTGTTTACATTAACACTCCATCCCGTGTGTTGTGATTGCTGGAGGGAAATGACAATGATGTTGAGACCAGCAGTCCTATAAATGCAAGGTACAAATATGTGCAGGAAATTTAAGGATAAGAGGACAATTTTGACAAAGTAAACATGCAGTTCAGGCAGGTTTTTAAAGAAACTAGGTCTTAATGCCATCTTGTAGTTCCTTACAACATCAATTAATTTGACATAGTTAAGTAATTGAAATGGTCCACTGATGCATATCAGCTCTTGTCATTCATGTATTTTCCAAACTCCTATTATCCTTGTTGAAGATAAGCAATCAGCATGGAGCTGTGTCATATACTTTAGATGCTTGTTCAATTAAATGTAGTCCTTCATGTTAATTTACATTAGCCTATTTTCTTAGGAAGCAGTACTTTTTTGTTAACAAATGATTAAATAAAATCATGTCTGTTTGCCTGAATATAGCTTTCTTCTGCTTCTATTTCCCTAACATATCATTCATCATTCATTCATTACATTTCTGTACTGCCCAATAGGCAGTATTAAAATGTTGCTGCCTCACTTTTTAGCAAAAAAGAATTCAGATTTTTTAACACAACCAGCTACCGTGCATGTGTGTGTTTCATGACTGTGGCTGTTTCTGCATCTGTACTGGAGGACATAGTTCATGTGGTGGAACAAGGAGCCTAGACTGGTAGCTGACAAGAATTGCCCTAACATGTGATCCACTGCCTTACTATGATGTTGCTCTGAGGAACAGGGTATTTTCTGTTTTAGGACTAAGGGATGTGGGTGGCCTCATTCTTTCTTTAACCTTGCCACCACCTGTGTGAATGTTTTGAGCGTGGCTATGCACTTCAATTCATCATTAACTTAATGACCCAGAAATATTTTTGTTTAATCCATATAGGCGGTCACTGGGGCTCCTGGTTTTATTTAATTTTTGCTCTCCTCCCTTACGTTACCTTACCTTACCTTACCTTACCTTTTTTTTTTTTTTTTTTGGTACTGCTTTGGAGACATTGCTGTATATTGCTATCAGAAAAGGCACTTCTTTTCTTTTGAAAAGGTATTCGGCCAGTGGTGGACTATGTGTCTTTGGACCAAGGCTGCAGCTTTCTTTAGCCTTGCTCCCCCCCGCACCCCCCCCACAAGACCTATGCAGCATTCGTATAAATGGGACCTGTCTCTTTATTTCTAATTGCATATGTGCAGGGGGACTTGCAGAAGGGAAGCATGAAGACTGGTAGAAAGTAATATTCAAAAATTAATTTCTGTCTCCTATAACTTCAAAATTACCAGTAATTTTACATATAATACAGCTACTGGAGCACATCTCAACAGGACTGGAAAGATCCCAGGATCTGGTAATCTGGGTAGCTAAATATTTGATACTGGTGCTAACAATATCTTTTTCTAGCCCTGTTAAAGAAATTCTAATCTGTTTGCTTGCTTATCTCTCATTTAGTCCAGATGACCCTGAGGGCTAGCTGCTGCTCTTGCTAAGGTTACCATAGGGTGATACAGTTGATGTGATAAAAAATAATTTGAATCCTCAGGGGCATTGTTGCATAATGCATATTTTTCTATATCCCAGGAAACCTGTGGAATTTGAATAATTATGTGTCTAAGATAGAATCACAGTGATAAGTCACTACACTAAAATCCCTTTGGATGCTTTGTCACCTTAGTCAAGTATTTACGTAGATAGTAAGCTGAATTCACAATGTGTTTTGCTCCCTGCCTGGTTATCTATTTCTGAAGGAAAAGGTTATTGGCTAATTTTGTGCTTAAAAATGACTGTGCTGCAAAATATTTGAGTATAGACTTGTTAAAACAATTTCACAATGTTATTTATTTGTAAACAGAACTTAAAAGTGCCAAATCCTAGGAGGAAAACTACATGACACTGCATCATGAGTGAGAGTAAATGTGACAGTCAATTTTACAGTGTTCAAGTTGCAGATTCAACCTTCACTGTCCTAAAACGCTACCAGCAATTGAAACCTATTGGCTCAGGTGCTCAAGGAATTGTTTGGTAAGTGGTATTAACTCAAAACCAGTATAAATCTCTATCAGTATATAATTTGTTGCTTGAAACAATAAAAAGCTAAATTGTAGAGCTATCTGAATATAAAATAGCAGCTGCTTCCCATAGTTCCAGAACAGAATTTTCTCTTTTTTCTTCCTAAAAATTTTCCTCCTTAAGAAATAGCAGCTATAGATATTTAACTTATGCATATACCTTCACGAAAAGTATTAATTGCTTATTAATAAGATCAAATTTATTTTGGGCAATAACATTGAATTGTAGAAAGATGTATTTCAAGGAAACCTACTCATAGATGTGTTAACTCATTTACCTGTGTAACGTGCCTTGAGGAAAAAGCCACTTCTTCCAGGTAATCCAACCTAATAGGACTATTCCCTGCACCACTACTGCTCACACCAGCCCAGCTTCCTGTCTTGAATTGTTAAAATGATGTGTTCTCTTAAGGCCAGAAGAAGCACTGAAGTTTGTATGTGCAGGCCCACTGTAATGCTGTACTGACTTTTCTCAGCCAGAAATGGCAGGGCTATCCTAGCAGTTGGCCATCATGTAACAAATTAGTCTAAGCACCTGGACAAGCATAGCATAGGGAGATATAGATATGTATCAGAGAACAGGTAGCAAACAGTAGAAGAAAGAAATCTACATAAACTGAAGAAAGAAGAGCAAGGACAGACAGTTCCATGAACAACAAATTATAAGGGCATTTAATGGCTTTTGCCTGTGCAGAGATCAGTACAGACAACTCTTAAAGTTATAGCTTTTTCAGTGCTTGCTCCTGATTTCAGATATCTGTGTTTCTGTTTTAATGTTTCAGTGCTGCATTTGATACAGTCCTTGGAATAAATGTAGCTGTAAAGAAGTTGAGTCGCCCCTTTCAGAACCAAACGCATGCAAAACGAGCATACAGAGAACTTGTGCTCCTAAAGTGTGTCAATCACAAAAATGTAAGTTAGTGTAATATATTAAAACCAAACATTTGGCTGAATGTTAACTGAGTCAAGTATACAGGCAGTTCCCAAGTTATGAATGTCCGAGATGAGAACAACCCATACTTATGAACAAACTGCCATAAAGTCTGTTAATTTTTATTTAAAAACCTGTATAAAATCGTCATAGAGAGAGAGGAAGTGAAAAGGGAGGGAGAGTGAGAGAGAGGAAGAGGGCGAGTGCCAGGGAACCCCCAAAGCATTACTGTAGAGAAGGAGTCCTCAAACTTTTTCAAAAGGGGGCCAGTTGAAAGGTGCCCGCAGTGGGTGTGGGCTGCCAAGGTGGTGCTGGCAGGGTGTGTGGGCCAGTGATGGGGCGGGGGCTGGGCGCACGTGCCCGCAGCAAGGTGAGGGTGGGGGGGGGTGCGCAGCGAGGCGCCGACTTGCTCGCATGGAGATCGTTTTCTCTGAGTAAGTCCAAAACGATCTCCCTGCGAGCAAGCCGCCACCTCGCAGCGCCCCTGCTGCAAGTCCAAAACCTCTGAGGCGGGCCGGATAAATGGGCATGGCTGGCTGGATTCGGCCTGCGGGGCCGTAGTTTGAGGGCCCATCCTGTAGAGAAAGAGGAAGTAAAGGGGTAGAAAGGGAGGCCTCCAAAGCATGCTTTCTTGCCCTGCCCATGTGGAGAGGGAAGCATTTCCTAGCTGCAAAAAGGTACTGGCGAGGTTGGGCGTTGGAGGAGAGCTAGAGTTATTTGTGGTTTTTTAACTTTCATGTAGGTCCTGTGCCCCTGAACCCCACAGATATGGTGGGCCAAATATACATGATCTGACTTACTACAAATTCTACCTAAAGACAAATATCTGTTTTCTCAGAAACAGAACTGGTTCATAACTTGAGGACTGCCTGTAATTAAAACATTTAGTTTTTAAAGCACATTCATGTGTTATTGTACAGCCCTAGTAGTAGCTTGTAAAGCTTCAGTATGTTTTGATGAATTATTAATATACTATAGCTTTTATGCCTGCCACACTTCTATCAGGATTGAGCTTACATCAGTTACTGATGCTTTATAAAGCTGAGATATAAGAAGTATATTTTAGTGGCTACCACATCCGATAGGTATATATTAATTGGGTCTTTATGGATTTGGGTCATAGGAGTGTGTGTGAGTGAGTGTGAGAGAGTCAGTCTCAGTGTAGTAACACTTGCATATAAATAATAATCTCAGTGCCAGTATATCAAACGAAAGTGCCAGTATGTCAATACTACATGTCCAAGAGGACATGTAGTATTGGAGGAAAGTCAAGCAACTTGTAAGCATATAGTAAGTATGTAATTCTGTGTATTTCTTCCATTGTATGTTTATTATGAAGAGATCTTTAATTTACTAGTTTTCAAGTTTCATAATATATTAAAACTAATTCGAGAATTGTCCTAGAACAATTTTCTATTGTAGGTCTTCAGTGCTTGCTTTTTTCACAGCTTATGTTCAGATACGTTAATTGAATTCTGCATGCAACAATAACACGCTACATATAAACAACTGATACATTAATTGTAATATAGAAAACCCACTATATATTTTGCTTTATCATTATGTCTCCTTGAAAAATTCATAAGAATCTTGTAAGAGTTGCTTTAGCTAACCAGAAAAACATAAAGATTGTGATAGCTTCTCAGACTGGAATGGTGGATTTGTTGATTCCACTGCAGATTGGTAATCAATATTATTGTTCATACATTAAAATTAATTCAATATGTTTCTTTTTAAGAACATTTTAAAACCTTAGTAGTAACCCATGTAACTATCCAGTAATGTTCTTAATCTTAGCATTTTGCTTATTTTAGCATTTATAAGCAGCCCATAGAACCTTTGGGTTGTGGAGCGGCATAGGAATGGAATGAAATGCAATCGAAGGGATAGGGATAGATAAACATCTGATGAGCACTGAGGGACAATCTCAATGTATCTGAAAAAAGCTTTCTCTTCTATGCCTGCAACATTTCTGAGTCCTTTGTTTAGTTATCTGTAAAGTGACAAATTCATAACAATATTCTTTTGCTGGTATTTGTAAACCTATTTATTTCTAAGCTATTTCAGATACAATTAAAGGAATAGTTTTTAAAATATGACTAATTATTTCCAGTTATTCTCTAATTTATATAGAAGTCAATATTTTTTAGATAAAATAGTTAGACTAATCAGTTACTGTTTTCAGAAACACTTAAAATTAGTAAAAGTGGCAGTATACACTTCATACAAATTTTGCTGTAGATAGTCACCTCAACATTTTTAATGTTATACCTGGTCATACAGGACAAAGCAGAGAGACTTGGTTTTTTAAAAAGCATTTCACCAAAAAAATGGTGATCACCAGTTTCTTACCCTGCAATCCAAAGTGGATAAAAATCATTTTTTTTATTTAAATTGGATTTTTTAAAAATTAAATGCTTTTTTGAGGAAAAATCTTTCTAAAGATAGTTCTATTTAAGATACATTATAATCCATCATGAAATAAGGGTTAGTTTATAATTATGTAGCATGAGGCAATGTTAAAATTATTTGGAAAATGAATTTCAGAGGTTTCTGTAAGATTATTGGGCAGTTTTTGTCATTGTGGTAATATGCATTTTTTAATTTCTGGTTTTACAGATAATTAGCTTATTAAATGTATTCACACCACAGAAATCTCTAGAAGAATTCCAAGATGTGTAAGTTTATTTACAGATTACGTATTCTTGTTAAATATCTGTTTCAGATTCTAAGAACAGATTGTCCAAATTCCCTTCAAGGCATAATTTGATCACTATTTTGTTTTGTGCATATTGTGGCCGCTGGAGAAATATGTCATGAACTACAAATTGTATGAGGGGCTATAGGTTACTGGGAATTTTCACTTTTGGGGCCATAGATGGAGCTGTGAGCTCAGAGATGAAACTCTCCACTTGGCACTTCAGCCCCACATTCCTTCCTGTCAGCTGCCAAAGAAAGTTCTGTGGTGTCTCCTCTTCCAAGGGTGGTGTCACAATGTCAGTGGAGGGAGGGGGGGACCTCCATATGCCAGTAGGTAAGGAGGGAAGAGAGGCCCTTCTCTGTCAGAACAACTCCATCGTGTGGAAAAAATTAAAAGAGGATAGAGAAGCATCACATGTACCCTAGCTGAGATCAGAGGCTTCTATCAAGCAGGCAGCATTCTTAATGGCCCTCCAGTAAATGTCAGAACTGGAAAATGAGATTTTTTTCCACTTTTTTATTGGCAGCTTTACGGTAGTCTTTGATTATTAGTTTTATTTTTTCCAAAGAGCAGTCAAATACTAAATGCAAATGGTCTGATATTCTTTTTGAGTTAAGACATAAATTGGATAAGTTTTGACTATTAACATGATAGGGAGGTGGTTTTCACTCAGATCTGGATTACTTTCATGTATTTCTGCTAAGAAATGTAAATATTTACAGAAGTTCAAGCATTTACGATACTCATACAAACTCTATCACAATAGAGTCTCCTTTAAAACAATCTGTCTACACTGAAATAATTAGCAGATAATTTTGTTTTCTTTACATTATCTGTCATGAAAATTGAAATTAGGAATTGTGAAGAAAACATTTTCTGTATTTTCCTATTTTTTGCATTCTGAAGGAGGTTTTCTATTGTCAGTGTATTTGTAGGTATATTTCAACTTTGGTTCATGATGGGTATCTTCTTGTTTCAAAGTAATTCAGCTTTACTTGGCCTGCTTCTGTCTTTAATTATTATGCTACTGATTTATTGATTGAGCCTTTGAAATATTGAGTTTTTGATGTACTGTCTTCTGCTCTCATTGTGATTTTGTTTTACTGGTAATATTCTTCTTTAAATTTTCTTGGGACTAAATTTTTAATGTTGTCCTCCTTAACTTTATTTTTTCTCATAAATATGTCAACATAAGTATGTAAATATATTAAAAACTGTTCCACTGGAATTATTTTACACCCTGGCAAGTTAGGAATTGCACATCAATTAAAGTATAATCCTGTATTATCCATATTCTTTGCGATGTATTTTTTGTAGAAGAAAGCGCCCTTGGTCCATTGTACTGGGGGGCGGTGGGGGAGAGAGAATATGAGAACAAAAAAGAAATGCTGTTTTGTTTATTTTTTCTTTTAATACATCAGGTATTTGGTTATGGAATTGATGGATGCTAACTTGTGCCAAGTTATTCATATGGAACTGGATCATGAAAGGATGTCTTACCTTCTGTACCAGATGTTGTGTGGTATCAAGCATCTCCATTCAGCTGGTATCATCCACAGAGTAGGTAGTGCTTTACAGTCACATTCATAACAGCCTTTTCCTACTTATCTCCAGTCAAATATTCAATTATATTAAACATTTTGAGAATTCATTGACAGTTCAGAAATACCTCGATGGAGCAGATTTTACAGGCTATATTTTCAAGACTGATTTAATTATTTTATTTATTTAAGGTTTTTGTATGACATCCCAATAACTAAAAAAAGTCTCTGGGCGGCTTACAGAGATGAACCAAAACAGAACCCATGAGGGCAACAAAAAAGAAAAAGTTACACTGCATCTAAAATAGGAAGAAAAACAAGGACTGAACAAAGAAATTTGCAAGCAGTTTTAATTTGGTGCCATTCCTGCTTATATATCCCTAATTAAATCTAGTGATTAGAGCAAAATTTCCTCTTTCTTTGCATCATAATGGGTAGATCTTCTATAAACTTGGTCTATCTTTTTATACACATTTAGATGAGCATAAAATCCTGTGGCAGTGTTTTCCATAGACTAATTTAGATGTGTCATTGGTCAGAACATACTATTATTCTTACCTACCGCTTCATTACCCGGGCACGCAATTTGGTAAGATCTTTTAAAAAATATATCTTGCTGTTCTGCCTTATAGTCAGCCACTTGCCTGGGTGCTGGCAGGTAAATTGCAGGCAACAATGTTACCGAGGCAACATTCTTCTGTCTCTGACTTTTAAAGGAAAGGATCAGCCATGTCTACTGCATCCACAAGAGCATCATAGTGATTTTACCAGTCCATGACTTAGTACTGTTGAAAGCTGGCGTTGCTCCTGAGTTCCTAGACTTGGAAAGCCCTGAGGCAATTTTTAACTGGTCATGTGAAAATAGCACTGCGCATGCAGGAAGAATTGGAAGTGAAGGATGATGATATGAAATGCAAAGAGAACAAGTAGAAAGAGGGTGTTGAGGACTGACACATTGTCAGATTTGATCTATTTTATGTTTTATCTTCTAAAGATATCCGCTTGCATTTGTTTACAGAATTAAGTTAAAAAGATATTTTGTGCAAGGAAAAGGACTGCAATGTAAGTGCTGTATAAGTTTGTATCTTCACACAGGAGTCAAAAATTGGAAAAAAGTTGTTAGCAGCCACAACCAGCCATCAGGTGGCACAGGAGCTAAGGACAGGGCTGCTACAAACTGGTTTTAGCCCACCCCTCCACTATCAAATGAATTTTACTCAGGGTTCCTTCACAGACCTAATTTATAACCCCAAGGGAGGGAATGTGAAGAGTATGGAGACTGCTCACTCCCAATTCCTTCCTTTCCCCCAAGCACAAGATTTCTACTGCTTTAGTTATAGCAGAAACTTGTAGAAACCTATGTCTAAGGAAGAACTATTATAGGACAATTGCATTTAAATTATGAACAAGATACCTACCACTCTGCTTTGATGTACGTTAAAATAGTTTTGTGCAATCTTGCATTCATTTTTAAATGTATTAATAGTATTAATTAAATATAATTTAAATGTATTAATAGTCCATCCACCTAGAAGGTCCCCTAAATGGTCCAAACTATCAGTAAACCTGTAATAGAATATTAGTAAAGCAAATATCCCCTAAGATGCTAATTAATACCTGCAGTATTAGTATGCCATATTAAAGTCTCCTCACTGTTGAATGCAAATTTAAAAAAGTTTTTTCCCCAGTTTATCATAAATTGACTAAAGTTGAGGCAAGAGAAGGCTAAGAAGTTGCTGTTCCACTCCCCAAAAACTTAAGCACCTGAAGACAGGGAGCTGAGGGTTCTCAATCATATGGTAAGCATTGAGTTCCATGGTGGCCATGGATTTGAAGCTAGGTCTTGCTCATCCAAGCCCAGTACTCTATCCACTATAATACACCAGGTTGTCATTTTTCTGTTTAAACTGAGGTAAAGATTTTGTATACAAAGCCATGTATATGTCAGATTGGTAAACTATATAATAATATTATGGATTATACCATTTGTTAAGTATTTGACTGTACACTTTTTCCTTAGGATTTAAAACCCAGCAATATAGTAGTAAAATCAGATTGTACTCTCAAAATCCTTGACTTTGGACTTGCAAGGACTGCTTGTACTAATTTCATGATGACCCCGTATGTAGTAACACGGTATTACAGAGCACCAGAAGTTATTCTTGGCATGGGATATAAAGAGAATGGTAAGTTGCAGGATGGAATGTTGTATTTGTTCATCTGTTGGGTACCTGATCAGTAGTTAGATTTGTCTTTTTCTTGAATGGCTTATTGTCATTTCAGGGAGCCATTTGTGGTAGTCTTGCCACTATGTGACTTGACTGTACTTCCACCTAGTCAGGTAGAGCAGGAGATAGTACTGAGTCATCACTGCTATGCAGCTATGAAGTGGGGACGAGTGCTGTGTGCTCTTGGAGGGCATAAAAAGATGTCATCAGAGGTAGGGAACACTGCTGTGCTGGTCAGTAAGCAGCTGCCATACATGATTCACCTACCTTTTTCATCCAACTTAACATCCTAGTTTCTCCTGGTAAGTACGTGTTCAGTACCTACAGGAATATCACCCCAGAATACCCCATGCCCATCTTGCCAGGTTTAGAAAGAAGAGCTAGTAGCAAAATTAATTTCTCAGGTTTCCAGCTGACTACTTAACCTGAGACACAGTGACTCATGATGATAGATATTTTCTTAACAGACCAGTAATGTGCAGCAAATCCTATCCTTGAAGCCCATTAACACATAAGAGTGGCAAATTAATGGATTTGTTAACCTATCATTTGCCAGGGTATGTGCCACTGATACTTGCATAATTCTCCTTTGATCATCCCAACTGGATGTTGTCTCATGATTTGCAAGCCTGGTAACTTATAGGTTTAACAACACACATTAACCTAATCATAGGTTAACTGTAGATTGCTTAATGAACATATAACAGATAATGTTTAGGTTCACATATCAGTAAACAAACTCCAGTTGTGCCAGTTGGAGGCTGATTATCCATAGTGGCTCCAAAAACTGCTAGGCATGCTGTCTGGCAAATTATGGGTTAATTAACTCCTGTTCTGCTGCTGTTGCATTCAAACTAGTGATTCTGTATATAGATAAAACAATACAGAGTCTTAAAGATAGCTTTGTAGATCTGGATTGATATGCACCTCTGTCCAGAGGAAAATGGGCTTTACTCAGTGGATAAGTTAATAATGATTAACGTCATCCTATTAATTTCAATAGGACTTCAGTACAACTCTGGATTAGAGAGCATTCTATGAAAGACTGCACAGTTCAGTCTGTGGTAACCTTTTTTCATTTAGATTATTCTTAATGGCAGCTTTTATACAATTTTAAATATCCTGCACAATTTTGAGTATTTAGTATGTGCTTAGCATTTGAATTTTTTTTAAAGAAATCTTTAATTTTTGTCCCTGTTACACCTAATATTTGATAGTGGATATCTGGTCTGTTGGTTGCATAATGGCAGAAATGGTCCTCCATAAGGTCCTGTTTCCAGGAAGAGATTGTATCCTTCAAAGCACTTTCAGGGAGCATAAATGCAAGCAATTAAAAATAAAAGTAAACTATGTATTGAGAAGTTGACAGATTTGTCATGTAAGCTAATATTTCCAATGCAAGTCCTTCTTTAGCTAAACTTGAAAATGTACAATTAGATTAAGTGTTTTAGTTCATATTGTTCAAAAACACATGTTAGCAATTTCATTTTATGCATTGTTGTGTTTTAATGTAGAAATATGTTTTTGTTTTCCACTTTAGTTCATGACACTTCATAATTTTATCATTTCACTTTTGCTTTCAGTTGATATCTGGTCAGTTGGTTGCATCATGGGAGAATTGGTGAAAGGTTGTGTGATATTCCAAGGCACTGATCGTATCCTTCCCTAATAATCCACACTTACCAAAGAGTTCTTTCACTCACGGATGTAAAAGATGCTAATTCCCTACCCTCAGCATTATAATACTCTTTCCTGAATGGATCTACCACACTTGAAATTTGTGAAAATAATCAAACACCCAAAGTTTTAGTCTCATTTAACTTTGTCATTTGAACATTAATAATACCTGTTAGGAAGGTCATCTTTTTGCGGTCTTAATGATGCTGCAAATATCCTTAACATTATCGCCACTGTTTAGATTGAAAACTCCACAAAATTGTTGCTCAAAATTCATACTGTTTGCTTTTTATATTTCTCTGCACAATGGAAATAGGTTCACAGTGGAAGAAGGCTCAGTACAATGGTTTTGTCATGTCAGTTTTTATTCTGTTATCTTCAACTGAATAATTAAGGCAGGCAGGTTTAGAAAAATAAATTCTGAATGCTTAATTTCATAAAATTTTAGAAGTTGATCATGTCTTAACCTTAACACAACTAAATATAAGAAGCTTGATTTCCATTTCTTCAATTTTCTCACATATGTATTATTTTATTCTCCCAAAGCCTTATGACCAACCTAACACAATTCTTCATGTATGCTCTGTCTCCTGTCAGTTGCATGCTAACACTATTTCCCATATTTGCTGTCTTCATATATGTCTTTCATGCTTAACAAATCTCTGTGCAATAAATGTATCTTTGTTTGATTTCCACCAATCTAGTGCCCTTTGCTTCACTCATTGCCTTAGATTGTTAATTAATCTATCTGTTGACTTTAAAGGCAATCAATTTCTACAGCAATCATATAATATAAATCAAGGGACATTGGTACTTCACATGATTGAGCAGAGATCGCTGAGAAGGGTGTGAGTCTTGTGTGAATAACTTAGTTGTCGATTTTCTTATCCTAGTATTCTTTTCCAATTGTATGATTTATATGGGAACTATAACAGGGTCAGATCGCACAATAAAAGCCACATTGGCTTCTTTAAATTGTGGTGGGTGCAATTTAAATGATGCAGTTTCCATAATCAGATGCAATATCCATAATCACCTTGTCATGCCATTTAGCATGGGATAGCTCGTTTGAGGTTGAAACAATGCTCCAGTAACCCTCTATTATCTGATGGGTTATTAGTTTCCCCTTCCAACACGCCATGCAGCCTGTTTCAGAGAAGGAAATAAGTCAGGTTGATATGCCAGGGGCATTTGTATAATTATTCAGTGCAGTTTGCCATTACATGCAAAGCTGGCTAGAGTGACTTGTTGCTGTAGTTAACAAGCCACCCAGAATCCACTCAGATATTATGGTTCTTGCTAAGTTTGCATAGCTTCACAAGGGTTACCTGAGGGGAAGGGGGATTATGTAAATTCTCTGAGTACATAACCAGCAAACATGAAAGGGAAAATAAGGTACTCTGGTTTATTTTCCTCTCCATGAACATTCAAAGAGACCCAATATCATTAACCCAAGAAAACATTAGGGTGTTAGTTACTTAGTCTTAGTTTGTAAACTGGTGATACAGCAGTAGAATAAAGTAGATGCTGAATGATGCTGTACTAGGATTAGTAGTGATGAAAGCTAGGATATAAATTTCTAATCATACAAAACATAACTATGGATTTCTAGTCTAAAGAATTAAACCGACACTAAGTTTTAATTCAAGCTGCTTTTGGAAAATATAACACTTTGAAGGCTCAAACTCATGTTCAAGACAAGAATTGTATAAAGTTATGAAGAGGAATAGTGACCATTGGAGAATTGACCTATCTAGACTATTGCAGTTAGAGACATGGTGGATTAGACTGGCTCCTCTGCAGCAGTTCACTAGGGAAGGCTTGGCAAATAGAGTAAGCCAATGTGAATTTGTAAGAATGTATTTGTGAACACTTGGCTCAACAGTAATACAAGTGAGAAAGATCATGGAATTGTTGTAGATCACAAGCTGAATATGAGTAAACAATGTGATGTGGCTGCAAAAAAGGGAAATGCTGTTTTGGGCTGCATTGATAGGAATATGACTTCCAAATCGTGAAGTTCTAGTTCTTCTCTACTTAACACTGGATAGGCCTCATCAGGAGTTCTATATCCAGTTCTGGGCACCACAGTTGAAAAAAGATGCAGACAAACTGGACAGGCAGTAAGGATGATCTAGGGACTGGAAACAAAGCCCTGTGAGGACTGAACTGGGCATGTTCAGCCTCGAGAAGACTGAGGGATGATATGATAGCACTCTGTAAGTACCTGAAAGGCTGTTACAAAGAGGAAGGATAAGATCTTTTCTCAAACGTCCCAGAGTGCAGGATATGGAAGGAAGTCAGATTCCAGTTGAAGATCAGGAAGAACTTTCTGATTGTTAGAGCAATGGAACCAATTACCTAGGGAGTTTGTGGGCTCTCCCATACTGGAAGCGTTTCTGATGCAGCTGGATAGCCATCTGAGCGAGATGGTTTAAGCTGGAGCCCTGCATCAAGCAGGGGGTTAGACCTAATGGCCTTCTTGGACCCTTCCAATTCTACTATAGTATAACTCCATAATCACTAAAGGTTCTCATCATTCTCTACACCATATTTATTTCTCTATAACTTCTTGCTCTGCAGATATATTCCCTAAGCAATGGACTATATAATGTAGTTTGAGGAGCGGGGCAAGATCATGTGGTCTTGGGAGCATTGCTTTCCTGATTTATTGGTCACTTTTAGCTGAGAGGAAGATACAAAAGAAAGTAGAAAAGTGGGGCTCTAAGAAGTAAGAAAAATGCTGTGTGATTCTATTCCTCTAGACACCCTCGCTATCTTTGTAGCTGCATTGGCTTTGGATTCATCAGCACTGATACATGAAATATCTGAGAGCCTAAGATCATCAGTTTCAAGGAGATAGGTGAATTGAATCTTGGTTTCCAGGTCATTTTAAAGAACCTGCTTCCGAAGTAGGCAGACCTGTATTTTTGCTTTGCATTGATCCTATGTTTTAGTATTCCTTGATCGTTTAGTATATTTACAGAATAGAAGGGGACTTTCCTCTCAGTCCAAGACAGTATGGGCAAAAGTTTATATTTGTAAATTGAAATGTAAGAAAACTTAACATCTTGGGAATGAAACTTCTTCCCAGTACTATTTGCCATTCTGCTGCAAGGGTTCATATTACATATATTCAAGCTGTGACAATCCTGTTTAGCAGGTAGAAGTGCATCTTTGAAAAGCTCTTCTGATGTGTTTTTCTAGGAACATCCTGAGTAAATGAGCTTTGAATGAGGATGCACTTGGTCTTGTTATGATTTGTGTCAGGAATTGGTTTCTTCCTTAGAGCATACTAATCCAGTTATTTTCTTACAACTGTTAGCAAATGAAGAAGTTGTCATTTCAAAAATAATAGTCTGAACAGAATAACAAAACATTTTTAAATGTTTTTATGTAATAATTTACAAAAGTCCTTAGTGACTTTTGATCATTAAAGGCTACTGTGTCCTCTCAGATCTGGCACACCTAGCTAGATATTGTAAATCTGTGACATATGTATCCCTTTTGGTAATTAGCAGTACCATGTAGTTTTTGCTTGGGAATTCAGAAAGTGTTTCAGAGGAGAGGGTTTTAACAAAAGAATCATTCTAAATTGTATTAACTATAATTCAGTGACTTGAGTGATCATATGGAAGTCCATTTTTGGAAGCACTTCTTCATTTCTAGAAGCAGGAGCATAAGTTTCATAATCATTATGTACCCATAAAGCTTTATTTGTTCCTAAAGGGTCCTCATATAACTGTATGTATGTACATAGGAAATTAGATGGTCATTACTGATCATCCAAATTTGTAGGAATGCCTAGCAGACCTTAGATGTTTTTCCTGATTCAGTATTTTTCAGTTGTGTGAAATGTCATTGTTTTCTCCTTTGGAGAAACTAATAAAACTTGCAAAGTAGTTTTATTAGCTTAGAACTCACTTTTGAAGGTACCATAGATCAGAAATTGTGTGTGTGCGTACATGTGGTGAAATACATGGTTTGTTCTGTAAGGCTACAATTCTGTATTAAGTAAATTCTGTAGCATTTACTTCTGATTAGACAGGTATAGGTTTGAATTGTGAATTACTTAAACAGAATAACCTGAATTAAACTTTCTTTGACTTTTGATTGGTGGAATTCTCCAGCAAAATACATTTATCAGAAGCTGTCTTTATTTGTACAATTCAGCATGTGATGTTTTTCATCTTTTATAGTACTTGATATTGAAATTGCATTCAATTAAGTAGTGAAAAAGTGATCTCTTTCTCTGACCATGTTGAAGCATGTTAGGCACCAGATGGGCTAAAAGTACGCTATTTAAATAATTTATAAATGCACATATAGGAAATAGTATTTATAATGTCCTTCATTGTGTCCTCTGTGCAATCCTATATCTGGAATTGCTTTTATAAATTATATAGGAGCACAATAGACAGGATATCTGAAACAGCTTCTTACACTGAGAATTGGCGTGGTTTCCTTAGGGTGGTAATTAAGGAGAGACACTCATCACTTCATATGGTCCTAGAGTCTGGTACTGGCTTGCAGCTTGGCTTATGTGGAAAGGATTGCTGTTGATTACTTTTGCTGCCTCTGTAAAACAGTTCTGTGGGAGATCCAGGATGGAAGAATTCATCAGCCCTTCTAGGTAATCTGAAATCTAGCATTCTGACTCATGCGGAGTGCCTGCATGGTTACAGGATGCTCTCCTCTATAGACAGTTGAGGGTGATGGCAATGTGTGATAAATGGGTTGGACTAGAACACTTCCTTTTCTTGAGTGTTGAGTATAGCTGGGAAGGAAATGACCAAGGAGGGCTACCAAATTTCAGTGATCCCATGTATAGTGCACCTTGTATATAGGTATTTGCTTGGTGGCCATATGTTCCCTGCGAGTCCTTACAGGTGAATGAACAGACTGGCAAAGGAAGAACAGAACATGGTATTGTTCTTCTGTGCCCAGAGCAGAAACCAGGCAGGCTGCTAAAGGAGGAAAACCTCTCCTCTGTACCCAGCTTAGAAGAGCAGCTTTCTGTTCCTACTCTGCCACCCCGCAGTAGGCTAGTAAGCATTACTGCAGGCTAGCAACTTTTGTGAGCTTTACAGAAAAGCAGTTTCTTCAGTGAGCAATGGGGGTCCCTGTGGCAAGTTCTTAAGTTGTGTAAAAGTGAGGAAGGGATGCTAAACTAAAGAAGCAAAATTAGTACAAGTTCAAAGAACCTTTAAAAATTAAAAGACATGCAGAGGAAGCAAGCCCCACATATTGAATTAAGGTTTTTGGATCTGGCTAGTGTTGCAGAAGGGGTCATAATGGAAGAAAAAAATGTTATTTCCAAGAGTTTGATACAATTTTGTACCTCCAAAACAATGGGTTTGCTATGAATTCCTGCAGCTGTTTGGATATTGATCAAAGTTTTTTTTAGCAAACTTGTATTACTTCATGTGCCACAGAACAATTATAAAGTCAGTTCTTCTGTGGCATTTAATATCTCCCCTCCCCCACACACTTTAATAAATATATTAAACTTGTTAAGCTATTAAGGCTCCAATTTACACCTGTTGAAATAAATGGGAAAAGAAAACTACAAAATGTGCAAACTAATTGGGATTTATTCAGACAATGGTATGAACATTCAGAATATGGTAAATAACACATTGCTTGTATCATATATTCCATTTCTGAATGTTTGTGCTACTTTAGGGGCTTGGAGTATATATTTTCTCCCTTTATAAAATAGTAATTCTTTGTATTCCTGTATCCACACCTCCTCACCATAAAAGAAGGAAGGAAGGAAAAGAAAGAATAGAAAAGAAAAGGAATTGTTTCAAAGTGCTGCAGAGATATGTTGAATCCCAGGACTATATTTTGACTGGATCATTATTATATTTATTACAGGATTGCGCACAAATCCTTAATTTCTGCAGGACAGCAACCTACCCAGACAATCCATGGCTTCTGCTAGGATCTGCTGTACCCATGATGGAGTATTACGTTGTCCAAAATAACTCTCTTTCAAAGCACCTCTTAAAAAAATCATCTTGTACCTTTTCCATACTCTTCAGAGACCCTAGGTGCACAGGAAAGTGAAAAAGTGCCAGTCACTCCGTTTATGGGTGCACAGAGCTTTAGCAACTCTGAGTCCAGGCTTCCTTTAAAAATTGGGGTTTTGACAGAGCTAATCAGAACTTTCTGGCAGGGACATATGCTGTATTTATGTATATGTCCCTGTTTTGGGGGGGACTTGGCAGCCCTTTCACAAAACCCATTCTAAAAGAAAGCCTGAGCTTTGAAAGTTAGCTGATAACTCTGCATTTGCACACATCCAACTAAATTGTGTGTGTGTGTGTGCGTGCATACACACATCTGGGGTGCAAGAATATTTTTTTTAAACTGGTGAACTAATGTCATTTCTTCCAATGTGCAGCTTGGGCACTTTGGGGGTCCTGTCACTGGTTATCTACTTGGAGACAGCAAAGACTGATTCCTAACACACCAAGGGAATCATTGCTGGGGGAGCCTATGACAGGAGCAAAAGGGGAGAGGAGATGAAATGGATTCTGCGATAGAATACTCTGCATTACCAGTGGAAAGGACCAAGAGGTAATAGGTTTGTGTGTGAGGGCCACCCATGAGTCTGCTAGCTTGATGGGTGTGCAGTGTGTTGTTTCATGGGCAAATTACACTGTATAGTTTATTCAAAGGGTGGGTTGCCATGATATGCATACATGGCTGATGTGAAAGGCAGACTGCCAACAAGGGAGTTTAAGGATTAAATATAGCACACATATTTAATAGCTGCTTCAGTTCAGATAATTTAATACATTTCAGTCCTGGGCCCAGTACTCTTCAACATCTTTATTAATGATTTAGATGAGGAAGTGCAAGGAAAGATAACCAGATTTGCAGACAATACAAAACTGGGTAGAATAGCAAACACCCTAGAAGACATAATGAAGATCCAGGGCAATCTTGATAAACATGAATGCTGGACTGAAAGCAATAGAATGATATTCAGCAAGGACAAGTGCCAAGTCCTCCCCCTAGGAAAAAGAAACAAAATGCATCAATACAAGATCGGAAATACATGGCTCAACACAACTGAAAAAGAAAAAGACCTCTGAGTAATTGTGCACAACAGGCTAAATATGAGCGAACAATGCAATACAGCCACCAAAATGGCAAATGCTATTTTGGGATGCATTAATAAAAGTATTACTTCCAATTCATGAGAAGTATTAATTCCTATATATATTCCTCACTAGTCAGACCTCATCTGGAATACTGTGTCCAGTTCTGGGCACTAAGATTTAGAAAGATGCAGAAAAAGTAGAAAGGGTCCAAAGGAGAGAAACAAAAATGATCTGGCGTTTGGAAATACTGCCCTATGAGGAGAGACTTGAAAGAACTGGGCATGTTCAGCCTTGAGAAGGTAAGACTTGAGTGTAGACATGATAGCCCTGTATAAGTACCTCAAAGGCTTCAGAGAGGAAGATCAAGATACCTTCTTGCTGATACCAGAGTCAAGTTCTGACAACTCAGATTCAGGCTAGATAATCAGGAAAAGTTTCCTCACTGTCAGAGCAATATGACAGTTGCCCAGAGAGGTGGGGGGCTCTCCAACACTAGAGACATTCCGAAAGAAACAGGAGAGCCCTCTGAGTGGGATTGGTGCCCTGCAACAGCAGGGGTATGTTTGTTTGTTTGTTTGTTTGTTTGTTTATTTATTTATTTATTTATTTATTTATTTATTTAAAAGTTTTTTATGCCCTCCCCTTGCTGAAGCCTTCATGACTCCTTCCAACTCTACTATTCTATGATTTATATGAGTCTTCCAATGCTGTAAGTGTTGTAAACCTCCAGAGAATTTTCACTATAGGGCAGTACAGAAGTTTGAATAAATGGAACTCGAGACTTTGTGCTTAAAAGGACAGAGTTAGACAGATCTACAAAAAATCAGTTTGCTCACTTAAAGTAACAATTAAAAACCACAAAATGCATTAGCATAAAATCCAACACAAGTCCTACTTAGCCTTTTGAAAAAAGTCTCCCAGTCATTTGGTGAGCCTAGCCTAAGTAGGACTTGTGTTGAATTTTACCCAGACTGTTTATAAGGTGCACAGTTCCTGTTGAGTCTCTGACTAATGCAGTGAATTTTCCTTACCATCTCTTGATTTGCAAGTGAGCCTCTGGTTTCAGTTTCTACAGGACAGTAATTTGGTGATCTGTTTGAGAACCAAGATGTCAGAGTGAGTACAGTTCAATCCTAAGCAAGCTTAGGCAGAAAGTAGTCCTATAGTTCCCAGCATACTTCAGAAAGCTAGGTGATGTAAAACTATTTTCTGTCTAAATATGCTTGGGACTCCATCCTGAAGAGTTTTTTTTAAAAATGCAGTTCATATGTTGCTATAGTTTTTCAAGTTCCTCTGTGTAGTTTTTTATACTGCCCTCATCCCTAGTAAATGTTCTTTTATTAAAAAGGTGCTTTCTTCACAACAGTTAAGTGCACATTGAGCATAAGGGGCATTTGACTCTACTTCTCAGTTAACACCCTTAGATATGGGTTTGTGCTGCTTAAGGGAGAAACGTGCATGCCAGGCTCCTCATAACATTTAAAAGTTCTGTTGGAGGCATATTCCTGAATATAAGTCTGCACAGAGAGCTGATTGAAGGACAATAATTGTAGAGAATCTTACCTTGTTCAATTGCTCATAATTTTGCTGTGTATTCCAGGCTGAAAATACTTGTAAATGCATTTGAATTCTGATAGAGCTTTTGATACTGAATCATTACCTATTAAATCTTTGGATATTTGAGCTCTATGAGCTTTTAACTGCATCACTGAGTTCCTCTTATTTTAGTAATGACTGGATCCTCAATCTGCTTCAGGCTACAATCCTAAACACATTTCATAAGGAAAAGCCCCATTAAATACAGTGGACTTGCTTCTGAGAAACGTGTATATGCTGTTAGAGAGTTGGATCCAGATAAGTGTGTTAACAGAGCTGATTGAAGCTCAATTTCACAGCTTCTCTTTGATTAACCAGTAGTCCTGAAAAGGCTCCAATGTATTCAGACAAAATAACTGCAGTTAATCTGAGAAATTTGCTTACCTAATGTATAATTTTTTCCAAAGTTATATAGAGAACTTCTATAGCTTTTTGCACCTCCTGAACTGAAGTTACTGTCTTGCAATAACAACACTGTTGTAACATATTTGTCTTAAATTCACAATCTTCATACTCTACAGATTTGGGGAGTGGGGGAACATTTTATTTTCCTAAATGAAATGCCTTCAGATATTGACCAATGGAATAAAGTTATTGAACAGTTAGGTACACCATCAGCAGACTTCATGAAAAAATTGCAGCCTACTGTGCGGAACTATGTAGAAAACAGACCAAAATATCCAGGTATCAAATTTGAAGAGCTCTTTCCAGACTGGATATTTCCATCAGAATCTGATCGTGACAAGCTAAAAAGTAAGATTTCACTTGTGCTTGTATGTTTTTATTGGGCTTATTCATTTCAAAATATGTATAATAAAGATTTTTGTTTTTCTATATGTATTTATTATACATATTATTATACATGTAAGTATTTATAGTATTATTTTGTATTTCTATGTTTCTGATATCTTTTGTAGGAGGTTTTTGCTACTCAGGTTGCAAAGTAATTATTGTACTAGTTTTTGAAGCAGGAACAGTTTAATTTCTTGTTTTGCAGAATTTCAATTCTAACTATATATTCTGGGATATTGCACCTCTAACTTAGGTTTCTCTTTCATTGGGTTTGTTTCTCACAGTTGCATAAAGCTGAAGTGAACAAAATAATTTTGTGCTAGTATGACAATTCAACATTTAGACTTTCAAAATCAGACTTTCAGAATTAAGGAATCTGAATTGCAGCTTAAATGCTGAGTAAAACAATTATATGAAAATCATTTTATACTGGAAATACAGTATTTATAATTGATATGTTTTATTGCTTCTGTCTGTCACTTTAAAAAGTGAGATTTTATTTTATTATGCTTTATACCATAAGCACATTATTTGTATCGATATCTGATACTGTGTTAGTCCCATGATCCAATATTCCTCTGTCTTCTTAATTGCAAGCATAAGAATAGATATTTCTAGCATGCCTTTGCCACAAATATGCATTTTCTACTTTAACTTTATGCTTCAAGGCTTTCACTGTTAACAATTACAGCTTTTCCCCCTTTCATTTTCTAGCCAGTCAAGCTAGAGATTTGCTCTCCAAAATGCTAGTAGTAGATCCAGACAAACGAATTTCAGTAGATGAAGCTTTGCGTCATCCTTATATCACAGTCTGGTATGACCCAGCTGAAGCTGAAGCAGTAAGTTTACTTTTCAAATTTGTTTGTTAATTTTAAATGTGCAGTGTATGACCCAACAACCAAAGTTCCATAGGGAAGCTGACTGTAAATAATTAGAGAGCTAAAAAGCCAGTGTGGTGTAGGAGGGCTGGTGTAGTGCAGTGGTTAAGAGTGTGGGACTGGGACTTTGGCAATCTGGGTTCTAGCCTTTGCCCAGCCAAGGAGCCAGCTGGGTGACTCTGGGGCGGTCAGAGACTCTCAGACCATGGTGGTGGTTGTGGGGATAAGATTGAGAGTAGGAAGAGAGGAACTTTGAGTTCTTAGAAAAAAAAGGAAGAAAAATGGTGGGACATAAATCTAATAAATAAGCAAATTACAAACATTAAATATAAAACAGAAGAGAAATCAATAACATGATATAGTACTAATACAAATAATTTTGAAAGCACTGAAAGATTTTAACATTAAAGAGCCTGAAAATAAAAAAGAACTTCATCCGGTGCTAAAAGGACCCCCTTTGGGGAGGGCACTGCATAACCAGGGCTCCCCTAATAGAAAGGTCTTTTCAGCACTGGACTTAGGTTCAGATGGTATTTCAAGAATTTTTTTAGAAGTAATTAGATTGACCTTAACTGCAGTACAAATAGAGTTTAATATGGGAGATTTGGGGATGGAAATAGGAATCAGCCTTCACATTGTCTGAAAACTACAGTAGTGGCAGGCATGGCAAAGTTGATAAGGAGTAATTGTTTGGGCTCCCAGACATCATCTGGGGGAGTAAAATAATTCAGATGCACATATATGTGGTCAGAAACAGGTCTCCAGTCTTGGAGTTGAGTATCTGCACTTGGAACCCACTCCTACCTTCACTGGCAGTACAGAAAGTATGGTGCTGCCTGTTTTTTGAGGTCAGAAGGCAGGAATGGTATATTAGACAAGGGGTAAATGGGGCATTTCAGTGGGCAGAGAGGTGAGTAACCTGCACAGGTCCACATACAACATACCTTGTGTCCTCTGCACCCCATTTCCCTGCTCCTCCAAAGCACCTGATGGATGGAAATGGCAATAATACAGGGCAGGAGCAGGGAGGTGGATATCGTCTCTACTGCTTTTTAAACAGGAGAACTTCATAGAGTATTGCACTCCAGTGCATGAATAATTGTCTCCTGGTTAGCTCCTGTATTTGCATGGGAGTTAATTAAAACGTGGAAGAGCTGTATTTTAAATCTTACATTCTTTGCAGCCACCACCTCAAATCTATGATGCACAGTTGGAAGAACGAGAACATGCTATTGAAGAATGGAAAGGTAACCACATTCTACTATGTGTTAAACCGTCTAAGAACATTTTATTATGCCAATAAAGGTCTTGAGTAAGTAAATAAAAATATGCTATTATAGCAACATTAATTTATTTTTGTATGCCTGAATAAAATTGGAATGTTGTAGCATACTGAAGCCAGTATAGAAAATACTAAACAAATTAATAATGTTTTATACTAAGATCACTAGTAATATCCTGACAATTTTAAAATTATTTCTCACTCTTTTATCTAGCCAGCTGCCACATGGTATTGTTTGGACTAGGCAGGAATAGGTTAAATACCCAAACATCTGAAAGTTGGACTATCTAAAAATAATTAAGTAGTACTAGGCTATGGATTCACTGTTGGTATCTGATATAGTTTTTGTTATTGCTGTTGTTGCTATTTAGTATATATCACCATTTATGTACATAGAACTTTACAAGGAATAGATATGTTATACAGACCACACCTCCTAGAGTTTACAATCTAAATTAGACACAAGGAAACAAAGGGAGAATACAGAAATAGAGGCAAAAGCAAGTGGAGAGAGAATGTGCGTTATCAGTTTCTTATGCTTTGCATATTTGCAATGAAGGAAAAGTTTCATGGGCTGCTTCACTAAGTGATTTTTGTATGGTGGTGTCTCCTCCCCTATTTAGTATAACTTTTTATTGCTGAACTTCACATGGTCATAAGGTTTCACATGGTCACACTAAGCTTCAGCTGTGATGCTGCCATTCTTCTTTCCCTCTCCTCTTCATTCTTACTTGTGCTTTTATTTCTGCATAGGGTATTAATTTTCTAGCAACAAAGGATGGAAAGTAGGCAAGTTTTCTGGGTGCCACTGTGTGTGACAAAAGACTGAACTGGCCTAGTTGAGGATGCAGCCAAATGCCATTTTAATTCAAAGTATTCTTTCATTCCCAGAGTGTGAAAGTGAGCAGAGCCAATCTGATTCTACCCTTTGGGTTGTGCAACCAATGACAGCACTCGGAGCAAGAGAGGGACATGCTCAGGGACGTGGACGATTTCTTCACTGGTTTTGTGCTGTCATTGACTGTAGATGCCAGAAGGTAGCTTCTGACAGCTCAGCTCATTCCATTCTTGAAGACTGGTAGAATTTCTTCAAATTAGAACAACATGGGCCTGCAGTCTTTACTCAACCAGTATTGTACTCTTGCTTGCAGCTGCAGGACTGCCAGATTGCTGCAAGTTTGCATTCTTCCCTTTGCACAGATTTTTCTTGCAAAATGTTCTTTATTGACCAAAGCGTTTTCCAGATACACAGACACTTGGAATGAATGTCTGAGTATGCACAGACCAGTTTGTGGAACTCTTATCTAGCATCCACTTGCAGGAGCTCTCCTTATAAGCATGCCTGGGCCCCATCCCTTCATGAGTGGCCTTCTGAAAACATGCACTCCTCCTCTCTATACACCTATCTTCTGATTGGTCTGCCCTTCTCTGCTGATGATGTGCCATGGGGTCAAGAGCCACGTCCCCCATGTCTGTGTCTGAGAAACTCAATTGCTCCAAGTCCCACCAACTGTACAGGGACTGCTTGCCCACCTGAGGAGTCTGGCCTTGGGATAAGCATCTCTACTTCTCTCATATCTATGGCTGGGAATGGCCCACATCCCCCAGCAACCTCCCCCACCTCTCTTCTCCCTCTTTCTCCTCCTGATTTGGATTCTTCTGGAAACCAGCTGGCAGCCCTTGAGAATATGCAATCCTGTTAATGAAGGCCCTCCAAAATGTTCTATCCATGACATCCCTGCTTCACTAGTCCAAATTCAAGGCTGTGGCTTCATTTTTGGAATCATTTCATCACTTATTTGGTCTCTCTTTTCTTCTTCTGCCTTACATGGTAAATAATTTTTACTTACCATATGCCATTTCCAATATTAGTATGTTGGTTCAAGCCTGCAAATGTCACATTATTCCAAGGCAATAGAGCAAAACAATGGAAATATAAATGTGACTTCATTTTTCACATCTTACAAAGTAATTCTTTTAATGTCTATACCGTGGGTGTGCTCCTATAGATTGCAACTTCTTTTTCTTCTGTTGAACGTTATCTGATGAACTTGCACAGCTGAGTGTATGTGAGAGTTCTGCTGTCTGGTGACAGGAGTGGTCAGTGTCTAGCTGATACCTTTTCTTCTGATTCCTACCAGGAAAGGGGACCAATAGATCTCTTAAGTTTAAAGTTGGATTGTTGCTGCTTAAAATTCTTCGCAACTTTTGCTGAAAAGAAGCAGTGGTTAACAACAGTACTTGAAGAGCATAGTGATTATATCCAAACTTGCTATCCCAATGATTTTATTCCTTATTTTAATTTTAATTTCTTGCTTTTTTATCTTTGGAAGGACTAAAAAATGTGTTACCATTATTGCCTATTAAAATAAAATAAAAACGGTTATAGTTTGAATTTGGACTGTCTCTGTGGCAGAAATAAGTCCCACTGAATTCAGTGAGACTTATACCTGAGTAGATTTAAGATTGGTAGTTTGGGTTGGTATATAATCAGACATGTATACCCTGTTAAACATTGCAGAGACCGGTTGTGATCACAAAAGATATCCAGATTATGCTGTCTTAAATGTTCCAAAATATTAAAAAAGAATGATAGCAGTTTTGTAATGTTTTATTTCTTTTCTTCCCCCACCCACATTTTCTCTTATATTTGTAGAACTAATATATAAAGAAGTAATGGATTGGGAAGAAAGAAATAAGAATGGCTTGGTAAAAGAGCAGCCTTCAGGTTAGTCATTGATGTAATAGTCTGCCTTTGATTTCAAGATTTGGTCATGTTGACTAAGTTTGCACATCATGATTTGCTACCCATGATGCAAAGTGCTGCTGAAAATACCTTGCAGTTGCAGCAGGGAAGGAAAAGACAAGTCTGTACTGCTATGGTGTCCATAAGAACATGCTGGATTATGCCCAAGGTCCAACTGGCACAGCATTCTGTTTACAGAATAGCAAGCGAGCTGCCCACAGGATCCCTCAAGGAGTCCACTCCTGCTCAGGTTCCCCGGCAAGCAGTGTACATAAGTATACTGAAAGCAGAGGTAGCACACAGCCATCAGGACTAGATAGCCATCTCCTTCATGGACTTGTCTATTTTCCTTTTAAATGTCCACATTGGTGACTGTTGCTATACCTACCTACCTATGTACCTACCTTGCATTACTGCTATAACAGAAGAAAGTTCATCAATTTTGAATGAGCTGTGCACCTATGGAAGTGCTAAGGAAAGGTATTCCTAGTTTCCCAGACATAAAGAGGGGCAGAAGATATTCTGTAACAATTATGAATGGAAATACTGGCTGACTTGTACTGGCTGAGAATGTATTCAGGAAGACTGCAAGGATTCCTCTTTTGTGGCCCTGAAAAAATACATTTTACAGAAATAATTTAAATCATAGTGTCAGTGGTGAATGTTGCAAGACAGCAACCTGGAAATATATTGTGGATATGGATGCTACAAAAAGGGCTGTTTTTGGTAGAGTGGTGCTGCAAAATGATTTGGCTGATTAAATTTGACATCTCACTGCTGATAAGAGATCTTCCATTTCCAGTATATAAATTTGCACAATGGCTTGTAAAAGCAAAAAGAGTTGCACTTGCCAGTAACTACTGTTCTGAGTCTGTTCAGTCACATAACTTTCCCACCTGCTTTGCCATAAGGACTTTCCATAGTAAAGGAGCAAGTGAGGTGGTGTCCCCACCCCTTGACAATATATTCTTGGTGACCAAAAAAAAAAAATGTCAGGAGAAGAGAATATGGAGTACCTCATGTGCCAGGCTCTGAAAAGTTCTTTGAGCAAGTTTGCTCATGCTCAAATACAAAGGGTGAGAGTGATATTTTGTATGAAGTTAGAAGTAAATGCAGTTTTTCATTTTTTGTGCTGAGGAAATTAAGTACAACAGTATCATCCTTTGAGTTATGGGTGGTAATATTTTGGACATCTGTAACAATTTTAGCAATAACCAAAAAAGAAAGAAAGAAAAACTGATTTTTTTTTCTTAAGCTTATCATTCACAGCACCTGGTACTACTTTTGATTTTATTGAAAATTAAGGGCATTTACTTTTGCCAAATAATAGATGCCCAGAGCAATTTGACCTTAAAGAAAAAGCTTGAAAAAGAAAAAGCTTGCAGTATTGCATTACGGTTGCATTTACTTCTTTAATAAATACAGCAGTAAGCCATTGTGCCGGGGAAAAGAATTCTGTGGATCCCAAAGTACCACCTGTGTTTTCAACCATGTCTTTCCTCAGATTTTCTTATGCTTGGTTTACTTAGCACAGATGCAGCAGTGAATAGCAACATCAGCCCTTCACAGTCATCATCGATCAATGACATTTCGTCCATGTCAACCGAGCAGACATTGGCTTCAGACACAGATAGCAGTCTTGATGCTTTGACAGGAACACTTGAAGGATGCCGGTGATCAGTTTTGAAGATTTAACATTGGCAAAGAACTTTTGCTTCTGTTGGGCTTGAATGCTTGTAAGTTTATGGAACCAAGTAGAAAAACTCCATGTTCTGCATGTTCCTTTAAAGTAACATCTGTAATTTTACTCAGTTGCAATAAGACTGTCTGCTTAATATTGTAGAATGAGTGCAACTTTGTATCTCAAGCCAAAACAAATATAGACATTATAAACCATTCTGTTTTGACCTAGATCAGGTGAGCAGTTAAAAAAGTCCAAGCTCAAATGAGTTCATGGGCATTCTCTCAGATGTCTGAAACATATGCATATCCAATATAAATCCCCCCCCCCAAAAAGCAAGAGCAAAAAAGCCATTTAAGTCTTATTGAATGTATATCCTTATTATCTATATGACTACAAACATGTGCCACATCAGTGTGGGCTTTTTTTTTTTAATTCTCAGTACTGTAAAATAGAAGGAATTCGTTTCTTGACTCCTTTCTCTCTCCAAGTAATTTTGTATACTTGCCTGTAAGAGAAGCAAGCTTGTGTTTGCTTCATCTTTACATATGAATGTAACGCTGCTTCTCTGAATGTGCTCTTCCAGTGCTTTTCTTCAAGGGATTGTTGGAATAGCTAAAAATGGTCCTGTGGAAATTTTTCATTAATCTTGCATGTGTGACTTAGTGAAAGTTTTTGAAATAATATTCCTTGGTCTTTTTGAAACAATTCATCAACACTAGTAAAACATCTCCCTCTTTTCCCCCATTCTAACATTGACCTAGAAATTCTTAGAAAAAAAATTGGTCAGTGCAAAAGTTTTGGAACTTAGCATGACATGTTAAGGGACCTCTATGCAATATAAATTTCTTCTTAAATTTACAGCTACTATAAACTTAAATTCATAGAAAGTGCATGGCGAACTATTTTAAACATGGAACAACACAAGAAAGGCTAGCTTAATAAGCAATCTATATAATTTGTAATTATTTCTCTACTCATCCTACTTTAGCAAATTCCGAATGTAAATACCAGTCTTGAGCCAGCTTGACCAGGCTAATTTTTTTCTAGTTCCAGAAGTGGTAATTTGTCATAATTTGAACCAGGGTAAAACCCATTCATGAGACATTTGTAAGGAAGATATTTATTTAAGAGTATAGATGATTTCCTGGCTACCACTGTATTAGGAAGGTAGTGAGACAATCCCAGATTGTACAGTTGAGGTTTACAGTAATCCCTGAACAAAATTTGTGGATTGTGAGGAGGAAGCCATGTCCTTAGGAAAGTTGGGCAAAGGTTTGTCTCTTCTTCTTACATCCAAACATGAATTGTGTATACCACCTTCTGTGTCTGGCACCAGCACTTTACTAACAGCACAATGCTATGCATGTTTGCTTGGAAGTAAGTCCCGCTGTGTTTAATGGTGTTTACTCCTAAGTGAGTGGGTGTAGGGTTGCAGCCTAAGTAGTTTGCAGTGTTAGCCTTCTCCAGCAATAGCCATTTCAGCAAATAGAACTTTTGCATAGGTCTGGTATGCTGCTGCATTTTGTACCTTGTATTTGATAAGATTTGTCCTCTTAGAATTTATGCTTGCATCTTAAAATGTAGAGAAGGGGCCCTGCTCTTGCATGATATACTCTGCTTGGATAGATTTGTCCAATTCTGAGGAGGAGGTGGAAAGGCAAAGGATGGGGGCAGGTGGTTTGGCAGTTTCAAGGTTATCTGGTTATGATTCTCAGGCAGAGTGTCTACCTGCCATATAAAAGGAGGAGACATTTCAGAGCTGGGGGAGGAGGTGATGGAGTTCCTTAACCCAGTTAGGACATGATAGGTGAAGTAAGTGACCAGTTAGAAAGTATCCAACACTCCTGCCCTCTGGGCTTCAAGCAGCAACAGCCACCTGAGGGTGGAGCTAGAAGCTTTACTGAAAAGGGAGGAAAGGAGTGCAGGTTTCAGTTTGGATTCAGCTCTTTATATTGGCAGGTGCTTCTCTTACTTCTCAAAAAGAATGCTACTTTGATTTATGCTGTTGTGTAACCTGTTAGGTTGTAATAAAACCTATTGCAAAATTACTTTTACTTAAAATGCCATTTTAATTAAACCATCCATTTTGAATGCTTTGAATACAGTCTAAATTAACTAGTATACTTAAAACTGAAAATGGAAATGTGTACTTGACAATGTACCATTCAGCGTGTGCTTTTTAAAGTGTTCCTATTTAAATGTATATTAATCATTGGTGAAGGAAGCACCGTGATGGCTCCTAAACAGCACTGGAGGATGTTTTATACTCCCAGTTCAGAGGTGATGCTCCAGTACCCTTCCACCTTGCAGCCAATACAAAAAGGGCCATGCTGGCTGCCTTTCCAAGGTCAGGAATGCAGGTGCAGAGAAGGGAAAAAGTTGGTTTGGGCGGATTGGGGAGACAGCAGAGGTGAAGATGCATGCCATTCTGGGGCCTCTCTATTCTTCCTCCCCTCTGAAACATGTTTGTAAAGTGGACACAGAAACCCTTTGAGTGAAAATGCAAAGTGGAAGGACAGGGTGGTGATGATTACCTGATTACCTTTGTCACTTTTCCCACCTGTATTGGATGCTCATAATCCTTTGAGTTTGGGGGACTTAAAAGCCTTGACAGTGAAATCTAAAGGAGTGTGCCTTAAATTACAAAAGATTAAAGCAACCATAAATAATGTTAATAATAAAGTTTACAGGATATAAACCTTTCAAAGTTTACATTGTACTTTTAGAACTATCATGAAAATAAGTAGTATATTCGGACTGTTTTTATAAATGTGGGGTATTCAAGGATGATATTTTTTACACAGAATAATATATAGTAATTGGAGTATAACCTTTTCCTCTGTATGTGCTGTATTGAGCAATGGCAGGGCTTGTGTGCTAGTTTCTCATACAAAAAGGAAGCCTTCATCCTATAGCACCAATTCAGAAATTCTACATACTAGGGCAGGAGGGGATGGGGAGCAGAAATACTTAGTAGTGTAGTGTGAATGCTTGAGCTACTTGAGCCGTTGCAGCAGTCAGAGTTTTGTGCTGTAGCTACTCGCTATTCAGCTAGTTCATATTATAATAGTTCAGTTGTCTAGAATTAACTGTCGTAGGCATGTTTTCCAGAGACCTGCCCTGAGAAATTCTCTACCCTTTAGCCTTACTAATTTTGAAGAAGCAGCCACTCTGGGTTAAGATATTCTTGAATTATTAGGAAGAAGAAACTACAATTGCTCAGAGATGATGACTTAGCATAAATTACATTTAGAGGACAATGGACAGCTTGTTTGTAACAAGAAACAGTGAGGAAAGGTTGGGTGTAATTTCTTTTGAAGAGTTTTTGCTGAAAGTAAAAAGGAAATGAGTCAATTGTAGTCTGAAGAGGAACTATGTATATGTGTTTTGATAAGGAGTTTTCTAGCAGCAGAGGTGATTATTGCTCATGTATGTCCTATTTCTTAATTCTAAGTGTATGGAGAACAGAGGAGAATGCAGCTGTTTGGTAGAGGGGGAAAATGCTACATTATGTTTGAAGGTGCACTCTTTTTTCATTTTTAAGAATCATTTGCAGTGTTCTTTGTCTCCTTTATTTTTCTTAGACTGCAAGTGCTATGGACACTTAAGTCTACATTAGTGCCATTGAGCACAGTAGAATTTGCTTCTGAGTAAAATTGTATAGAATTGCACAGTGTTTCTCACCTGTAAAATGGGACCAGTGTCCTTTAAATATTAAAAAAAAATAAATTTAAATGAGGGATTTGTCTGTCACTTGCCTCACTGCTTTTGTCTTATGAAGCCAATTTCTTCAATGTACTTTTAGTTATGCTTTTTTTCTTTCCCAACTCTTTTAAAATTTATTTTAACAAGATACAATGAGAAAGGAAAGGGGATATAGGAAAGGAAAGTGCCAGGGATCAATCTGCAAGTATAATATGTGACATCAACATTTAAACTCATTCATTAAAAAAAGAGAAAATCTCATTGGTTATAATCCAATTAAAACAATTCTCATTTAACTCAATTGTCCAGTCTATTGCTTTAACTTTATAGTAATTACTGACATTTATAAAAACTATATTTTCTTTAACAATTAAATTGCTCATAATAAGCTTTTCATCTTTGGGTGAATTCTTTGAATGACCTTCTATTAATGTAATCAGTTAATTTTGTCATTATTGCGTAGACAGCTAACTTGTTTTTCCAATCCTCAACAGTTGGGCAGTTTTCAGCTTTCCACTTTGAAGCAATTATCACTCTTGCTGCTATTATGCATTTAAATAACTCTGTCATAATCTTTGGGATAGTCTCTACTACAATACTCAATGGCATATTCTTGACGTTAATTGGAAAGTCCATTTTAAAGATTTCCTGCATTTCTTTATGTATCTGCTTCCAAAATCTTTTAGTTCTATCATATGTCTACCACACATGGTAGAATATCCCATCTTTCTCTTTACATTTTCAGCATTTTCCATTAAAGTTCTTAACCATTTTCTGTATATCTTTCTGGGTAATATACCAGCAAAAATATATCTTATACCAGTTTTCTCTTAACATTTGACTTGCAGTGAATTTTATATCTTTCATCCATAAAACTTCCCATTGATGTGATTGTATTTCTTCTTCAAAGTTCTGCTACCAGCTCTTCATAAATATTTTGACTCATTGAGTTTCAGAATCATGTTTAAGCAGTAATTTGTAAATTCATCATAGGAGCTGATCTTTTTGATGTTTAATTATAGTTTCAAAATCAGTAAGATTCCTTATTATGCTTTTTCTGTTTTAGTTTCCTTTTTAAATCATGACACCAATTGATAATAATGGATTTATTCTATATTTTTTCATCATCCTCTTAATTCTTGCCACAACTTGATTTGTCCTTGTTGGTCAACCATGTCTCTATATGTTAAAGAGTCATTATTTTTCCTCACATGTTTCCAAAGTATGCTTCTATTGGAGACTTCAAAGGAGATATTCGAGGACTAATTTTTCTTCTCATAGGATACCATTTTTAAATTAGACTATTCCTGAGTACAAGACTACTATTTAGAATCAATGCTTTTTAAAAAGATTCTTTGCTCCATAATTAAGTTTTCCTTCATCTCCAATTTCACTAATCTTTCATTGAATTAAAGATCCATTATGCGATCCAGACTAGACCAGCTGCATAATAATAGAGTTTAATGTTTGATATTGCAAGGCCTCCTACCTTTTTAAAAAAAACAACCTGTATTTCCCTGTATTGAAATTGGTGACATCGGAATTTTAAAAAAATTAACTGTGGCAGTATATTCATTTTATGGTAGAAATTCTTCTTAGCCATGAAGCTTTTAATTTTAACTATCTCTGTAAATCCTTCTGGAACTGTATTCAGGTTGTTTTATAATTATCTTGAAATAATGCATCATTGTGTCCTGTCAGATTTCTTGCCAAGTAGTTAACTGAATTAGAGGTTATTTCACATCCTGAATTTTTAAAAATGTGTTCCTCTTGTTCTATTTAAAAATTTCAATATGATTTTAGTCTTTTTCTTGTTTATTTTATAATCACAATAAAATTCAAATTTTTCAATTTTGTCTATTTGTTGTATAAATAAATGTGGATTTAAGATGGTCAGCTCTACGGCATCTGCATAACTTTTCATATTGTAGTCTTCATCTATTTTTAGGCTGTTTATGTCTGAGTCTTGTCTAATTTTCCTGGCTAGAACTTCCAATACAAGGATAAGTAGAAGTAGAATTAATGGGCATCCTTGAAGGGTGCCCTTTTCATTTTGGAAACTATGGATTAGCATCCCATTTTCAAGAATCCTAGCATGTTGCTTAGTATAAATTGCCTGGATCCAGTTCATAAATCTTGAACTACAATCTAAATACTTTAGACTGTAAAGTATTAAACTAATACTTTTAGTTTTCAATTTAAAAAAGCCCAAGACATATTATCAAAGGTTTTTTCCACATCTTATTTTTTCCATTAAATGCCGCTGCCTCCTCTTCCTCCTCCTCCTCAATATATTCAGTAGCATTAATCACAAAGTGGACATTATCTTTCATTAATTGCTTTGGTCTCATCTGGTCTGTATGGATTTGTTTTTCTATACATTTTCTTAATCTTTCAGCCATTAATAAAGGGAAGAGTTTGTAGTCCACATTTAATAGTGATACAGGTCTATAAGACTGTGGCAGAGCAGGATCATTGCCTTCTTTATGTATCAATGTTGTATCTTGCCATGATGTGGATAATAATTTCTCATCTTTAATTTCATTCATTACTTTTTGAAATTGTAGTATTAATTTTTCCTCTAGGTACTGTTAATACATTGCAGAGAAACCATCTGGTCCAGGTGCTGTATCTTTTTAAAATCTTTTTATAGCTTGTGAGATTTCTTCAATGGTAATTATGCTATTTAGTGTTTTTCTTTGATCCAATGTGAATTTGTCAGTATAAGCTTCTATGTATTGCTCCATTCCATCTACTGAAGTTAAGCTCTTTTTATACAAATTTGAAAAAAGTTTGAACTAATCATGTATCTCTTTCTCCACCTGAGTGATTCAGTTGCACTTTTAACCCATTATTGATCTCCTCCATTTCTTTTTTGAGCAGTATGGCAGATATCACCCAAGTTTATTCACTTGTTCTCAGGCAGATGTTAGTCAATTCGTCAATTGGTTAAACAAGTCATCCTTTTTTTTCCCCTGTCAAATAAATCCTTTCCAAGATTTTCCCCTATCCTGCAGATGGCACCAGCTTTGCAATTACCAGTTTAAAGAAATTTTAATATGTCACTTAAGGAGCAAAGAATCAAGAAAACACAAAATTCTCAATTTTCCATTTTCTAGGAAAGGGATCATCCAGAAATCACAAATCCACCTTTAAAATATATTCTACAGGATAGCTCCTACCAGTTCTTATAAATGGTGGCTCCTTTGCCTTATTCTCAGAAAAATTTCAATCCAGAGAAGAAGAATGGCACCTAATTATTCTTTTTCCCCACCAGCCAGTTCCAGTCCACACAGACTGCTCAAATGGACAAGCATCAACACCTGATCAGTCATTCTTAGACTCTTGATACAATTAGCAGATAACTTTATGGCTTCATTGCTGTATAGTCCTATTAGAAGTTTAAAAGCGGCTGTTCATGCATAAATTCCATTTGGATAAGCAAATGATTGTTTTTCAAGGTCCGTGTTATCAGAGGTTACAAGCTATAGTCCCTTGGCTTATGGGGAGAGAGAAAAGAGGAAAAACTTGGGAAGAAGAAGAAAGGTATTTGGGAGGGGATTTTAAAACAATTCCTTTTTTACCTTATCTTGTTCTCTTGATGGTATTGAACAGATCAGGCATTCCTGATAAAACCTGATTGGTCACGTGTTCATCATAAAGATGAAGAGAAGGAGTAGCCTGTACTTGGCTGTGAACAAAATGCCAATCTGCTAGACAAAGTAGAGAACACTCAGAAGTTGCTCCCTTTCAAGTTGCCATATTCCCTCATGCCGCCAGTATGCTTTTGACATGTGCCCTTTTCAGTCTGGATCATGTGGTCTCCACTGTTGTCTACTAGATCATTCTGCTTTAATCTGCATCCAGTCATACACAGTTGTGTTCCAGTTTTCATCTGTAACATGTTGAAGGATATGCAGTAATTCATGAGAATATCTTGGAAGAACTCAAAGGTTAGTTACTGCCATATGAATTTGAAAATGTACCAGTTAAAAGAAAAAATTGAGAATTATCTGATGTCTTAGGAGGAATAAATGTACATTTTCTCTGAGATACATACAAAGTACTTTATGCACACAAGCTCAGTTCTGTTAAGCTCTTTTGAGTGTATATTTTAATATTAATTTCTAAGTAGTCTCATGTTGCTGGCTGCATTTAGATGTCTTGATAAATCACATAATGATCTAGCCTTCTTCTAGGGCAAGGGTGGGCAATTAATTTTCCTATGGGGCCACATGAGAAACTTTGACAGTTGTTAAGGGCCGGACCAGTACACTTACAGCTCTGCTCAATATCTATCTCTATAAAAACAGTAAATGAAACATTACAATGATACAATGAAAATGTGGAGCACAGAACAACACTATTTAATGAATATTCACAAAAACATTAACATTACATGAAAAGCAATAAATTCAATTCAATTTTACTTATATAGCACAAATTTACAACATATGTAATCTCCCAGCGCTTAACATAGTAAGGTATAGACCTTACGAATTAGAACAGAGAAAGAAAAAACTCAACAATCCAAGTTGCCTTTGGATTCCCTATAAATGCATCCAGCTTTGTTTATTTGCATTACCTCAGTTCTTTTTTGTTGTTGTTGTTCAGTGAGAGAAATCTAGTCTGTTTTGGGCTTGAATGACGATATATATTTGCATTGACTTTTAATTTGCCAGTGACCTCATGCGGGCCAGTCAGTGTCAGCCATCGGGCCGGATGTGGCCCACGGGCCATACAAGGCCCAGGTCTGCTCTAGGGCCTTATTTCTCCATTTCCTTCAGTGTGGCCATAGAAAGGAGATCAGAGCTTTTGATTCTGTTTGACATGTTATCTCTAGTTTTGCATGTCATCTGAATCTCCAACTGTGGTTAATCTTAACTTTGGTTTATGAAGAAGCAAGCAGCTTCATAAATGACAGTTTGACTGTTACTTGTTTTGAACCATGATTAAAGTTAGCCATGGCTGGTCAATTGCAGATGACACAGGCCAAGGTTAATAAAAAACAAGCAAAAACTTCTAAACTGGTGGCCACTGAATAAAGTGGGAAGAATGAGTACTTAGTCCTGATGTAATGTGAAGATTGGTTCTGTCATGATAGATCATGGTTTATTATGAATGTAACCAATGCCTAAATCTAACATCCCAAAGGAATCATGCCTCAGTGCCACTTGCCTTTTGCTGCCTCCATGATAATTGTTCCTTATTAACATGGACATCTGCATTTGAATAGCAACACTTCTGTGTTAAAAGCCTTTTGACTCCTATTCTTGCAAGCCAGTGGCCATTTTTTCCCCCAAAATGCCCTATGTTGACATCAAATAATACATTTTGGGAGTTTTAAAATAGCTAACACCTCACAAGAATGGGAATCAAGTGCTCCTGTTCAGAATTTTGGAAGGATTTGGGAGACTGAAGGACAGTGGTGTGAAGCAACAGTGGATCAAGGAGGACTGACCTGGATGGGAGTAGGAAAAACTGGTGTAGGGGAGAAGCGAAACCAGAATTCATAGGGAGGGAAGAAAAACAGCTAGGGTGATGGGGAAGGGTGATGGAGACAGGCAGCTGTCTCGAATGATTGGAATGTTTATATAATAAACCTGTGCTTTTGGTTTTAAATAAGTAGATTTAGTGTATTTTACTTTACTTTTAAACTTTAATGTGTTTCTTTCATGCTATAAAGAGATTAACTAAAACGCTACATTAAAGCATCCTTATTGTTGACAGGTGACCAGAATGAAGAGTGGTATTTATGCTATATCTCAATAACTAGAGCCAATAGGGAAAAATTGGTGCCATTTTTGGAATCAGCTGGTCAAACATACCCAGGAACAGGTATAACATTTGAAGCACCAAAATCTGTTGGCCAGTGATCTATACAGAAAAATTGAATGTCAAGGAGATTTGAACTTCACATTCTGACATCTAGAATTCTCTTTTGCATTTGCTGGAACATGCACATGTAAACGTATGTGCACAAACATAAACAATCTCAGCTGTGGCAGTGTGCCCACCACATTGCAAGCTCTGTCCAGTCACCATGTAGCTTCTTTCCTGCATCGTCATTAAGTGTATTTTAAAAGTTAACTAGCAGCCAGACCTGGGTTCACACAGGCAGGAATAGCTATGCAGCAAAACCTTTGAGCAACTTACCAACTTCCAGAGTTGGACACATGGTACCATCCTGTCCTAATGAATCTATGGCTGAATGGCACCGCTAGGTGCAGCCTCTGCCATGGTGTACCCCATGACCCTCTGAGGGAGAGGGACCGGGCCACTCCATTCCCCTGATCAACCTACTGATTTCCTCTATATGAATTGCCAAGGGGAATTGCCAAGGGGAATGAACAAATTTTAAAAACAGAAAAACCTGGAAACGCACATGATTGAGTCTTCTTAATATGCATACTGAGTCTAGGTTTCTCAGTCTTGAACTGATGGCATAGATAGGCAGAAGTACGCATGCAGACACGCAAACATCCATCCTTATCCTTTGTTATTATAGATTATCTTGACTTCAGTATCATAATAATGATTAGTAAGAAAAGGACAGGACTCAGTAAATGAATGTGAAAGTCAGATATTTTATTCTAGTACTGGTAATATTCTTTTAGTGAATTGTGTGCTAAAGTCATGGTTTCTACCAATTTGTGTGACATTATTTTTATATTTCTTAACTGCCGGCCATGCTTTGACACATTTCTGATTATTGATAACACTGGCTTGATGCTTGAGAAAACCGGGAAGAATCAAAGTGTGAGAGGGAAGAAACAAAGCAAAACATGTGGCCCACTCCTAACTACAATTGGCAATTGATTAGTAGTATATCTGTAGCAGCCTTAGAATACATAATAGTTCAATTGTGCTACTTATACATGCAATTGAAAATCTAAATCTATGCAAGAAGTAAGTTTTGGGACTGAAAACTAAAGCATACATTTGTACAGCTCATCTTGCTGCCACAAAAGAATGTAAGTGTACTATAACATGGATTCTAACTTATCCATGCTATTTTTAAAGACCCAGAAGCGACACACAGATTTCATTAGGCTCATTTCTTACTGATACTTAGATGAAGTGAAGTACATTTGTTATATTGTCTGTCCTTTTTAGTCACTTAGGTCACAATTGCTATGGCGGTCCATAGGAAAAGGCACAGCCCCCTCTCTGGCCTTGGAAAGGCCTCCCATGGTTGCAGCAAGGCTTCCCCTTCAGAACCACCCCCTGCCCCGATCTCTGAGTTGGCGTGGTTCTTCCTGTGACTGCAGAGCCCCAAAGATGGAAGCCTGTCCTCAGGGCAGGCACTGGGGGAGGCACACTGGTCACCACCAACTCCAAGTACCTTGCAAGGTCAACATCAGCTATATAAATAGTTTTGAGGGAAGGGGAGTATGGAGGCATTTTTGCCACCATGCTTTTCCTGTGCTCATTGAATACCTATAGCCTCCCGAGTTCAGAAGCTTATGGGCAGCCACATAGCATTGTCCCTGATTAGACATTTACCTTTTAAAATGGTATTTATGTCTGTAGAGCAACAAGTCAGATTGCCTTTCAGTGCAAGCCCACGTGAGATTGGCTACTTTGGCATGCTCCAACATTACCATGAAATGTTTCAGTAGACATAATCTGTCAATGGTGCATTGTATTTCCAATTCTTAACTGCTCACCTGAAAGGGGAATTGAAAATTGGTTGTTAAATGTTCATATTCTGTAATCTACATACTGTTTTAAACATACACTGAGTAGTTGAATGGCATTGCAGAGATGGAGTAGATTTAAAAGCTGTTTTCGCATGTGCCCTTTTCATATTTTTCAGAAGCAGTACAGAAATTAGAAGCAGCCCATTCTCAGTCAAAATTGTTTAAAGTGCTTTGTGAAATGATTTTGTGTGAATATGCATATTTATGATTGATTAGGTAAAGGGAACCTTATGTTTGCAGAGGTCATAACTCTTGTATGCATTCTGGGAAGCAGCAAAAAAGGAAGGACAAAGGTCTTTCCAAGGCGGCTCTTTGCATGGTGTAACAGCATAGGCATGGAAGGGGACTATAAGTCACTAGTGCTTTCTGCTGCTCCCCATAATGTGTGGGAAAGTGCTACGTTCTTAGGCTTATACACAGCCTTTGTAATAGTGCCACTTTATTTTAAATGGTTTTCAAAGAATTCAGAAATGAATTACAAGGGTTTGCTATATATGCAAATGTTTACTTTTTCAGCTGATCTAGGCATCTGTGTGTATTCTGTTCAGTGTTGGACTTAAAAATGGAACATCTGTACCCCCAATGATCCATCCTTTCAGGTTCCTCATTGCAGCATTGGCAGCTTCATTTTAAAACATTTGATTGCTTACAGGTTTACACATTTTCTATGATTCAAAGAGAGGGGCAAGTGACTAATTTAGACTTGGATGTGCCCAGTGTGCCTTGAATCTTTTTTCCCCTTTGAACAGCAGAGCACAGCCTGTGTCACAAACTGCGTTTGAAACTCCCCTCCATTTCCAAAGACGTTTGCCATCTACTGTTGTGGTGGGCTGTTCCAAAGCTGCTTTGGGCACATGAAACTAATAGGTGCTTGGTTCTTGGAGTCAGGCCCAAGGAAAATGACATGTGTTAATATAGATAAGTAGCTTTGGATCACAAAATAGCACTCCATCAGTTAAATAGAAAAATACATATGCAGGCTGGAATTTTGTGCCAGGTGACACTAAATTTACAGACATTGCAGTATTTCTAAATTGAGTCTCTGGTTTCCAAAACAAAATTGATAGCCATTCTAATCAGTGAAATATATGCTGGATGACATTCCTTACAAAGTCCAGAAATTTTCTTTCAAGTATAGACACACCTTTCCTGACCACACCACAAGAGTTTTAGATCAGTCTTGAAGCAATACAGTTTATCTAATGCAACTGGTTGATAAAACACAGAGGTACAAAACTGTAAATTAAGGAATTTTTATCAACCTTTGTAAATCCAAAATCAGCTGTCTCTGTATACATAGATGATGTCAATGTCTGTATTTCATAATTGATCAGGACTTGATTCATTGATACTGTTGGAGCCAAATTCTTTCCTGGGGCTCTGTGTACATACTTGAAATCAGTGGGTTCAGATAACAGAATAACCCACATCCAAGTGTTGAGTATGGGTTGTCGAAAAACCATGGGTTAATGTTGAAACATAGGTTATTGTGCTGTCTGAACAAAGGCAGCCAATAATGGTTAACCACAAACAATCCATAGTTCATAATTTCAAAACAAACCAAGGGTTCTCTTCATCAGATCTTCATGGTTAACAAATCATTATTTGTTAGTGTAGCTAGATTTAGGCAGCACTATACCCCATGTTTCAGTAAGTCATGTTTAGGCAGCCCACAGTTCAGTTACAAGCCACACTCAATCCATATTCAACTCTTGAGCTTTGGTTTATTGTGTTGTTTGTACATAGCCAATGGGCTAATACATATCTACTTCTAGGTACAAAATTCAGATTCTGATAAAATTCCTTCAGCTGATTTCCCAATGTTTAATTGTATTACTCCACCATGAACATTGCTGACATCACTTTTTATACAATGGGATATGAAAAAACAAACTCAACATTTTAAGATAATTTATTTAAGTTCTTTTCCTACTGTTCTGTAAGAAATCCTGTTGTTTTCATGGTGCATGCTGAGAATCTCTTGTGCTAAAGATTACAAGGCATCTTCTCATGATATATGTACAAGACAAGAGGAACCCACATTCTTGTTTTTGAACTATAAAATAATTGTATTTTATTTTTATAATTCTGACTGTGGATTTCACTGCCACTAATGCATTGTGGATACTGTAGATAGTTTGGGTCCTATATTTCAATACTTATATGAATATAAATTAATAAAGTAAAAAAAACCTATCTTGGACATAGTAAATGTAATTGTTTCCCAACTTCAATTGGTTCTATAATTTAAAATTAAACTGGTTCCAGAGTAAGAATTTAAAATGTATTTAAGATTTAAATTGTATGTGTATGGTTGTAATTTTAACTTTATCATGCTGCTGCTTAATTTTTACAAAAGAGTGCCTGCATTTTTGCACAGCTACCTGTTTTCTTAATCGTTTTTTGAAGCACTTTAGGACTTGTCGAAACACACCCATGCCACTTCTGTTTTTACACCATTTTACATATTAAAATAGTTTCTTTGATCCAGTCTGATGCAAGTACACCACTTGCTTATGGAGGGATTTCCATGCTCCATAAAATTAAAAAAAAAGTCTCTTGTCCCCTCTGGGCAAATGTGTAGGTAAACCCATATCTAGACGCTATACCAGTCTGCTCTTTTGCTCAGTCAAACAATGTGCCTTGGAGCTATGGAAAATGCCAGTCAGGTACAGGCCATCTGATTTCCTGACCCTTTTCATGTTGACTCTCCACAATCCTTTGCCCATGTTGTGGTAGGAAGAGGCAGAAATGGAGACTCCCATGCCCCAACTATCCCTCTGTGCATCAGCGTGCCTCTTGTGGTCTCTCTTCAGCTCTCTTCCGTTGAGGACTTTGTTGGGGGCCCGTGGCAAGACATTGTAGTTCAAGACTGCGTATCAGTTGTGAAAATAAAACTATTTTTAAAGTTTGGGAAATGCATTTTATGGACTAAAACACAGTGCCCTATCAAATAAGCTGGGCATATCTTTTTCTAACACAGAAAGCTGAATTGCAGAATCCACAAAGTGAAATGTGTTATAAATCTGACTCCTATCAATGTGGTATTAACTTAAGTGAGCTGTGAGCTTTGTAAATTGACATCAATGGAATAAACACATCATGTATTTCTAGATTAGATTAGAGATATCATTGCTAGTAGTCAATCCTTTACTCTTTTTTCCCAAATTAAAAAAATGGAATTAGCTGTGCATCATATAAGTTAGCTTTTCAGTGTTTATAGAACAGAACTTTCCAGAGAAGCTTGCAAGAATCAATCCTCTTATTGCACAAGTTATATAAATACCTTGTGTCAAATTTAGTGAAAAGCCCTGGTCCAGTCGATCCTATTGCTCTCACAAATGCACACGTTTGCTGACGTGGGGCTTTAGTGGTGCACTATGTGCTCCAGAGTAAAAAACAGGATAGCTTATTCAGCTTTCCCTCATTCATGAGAGTCAACTAAGCAGGCTACTGATGGTCATTTCTGATTGTACTAGGAGTGCACATGGGCAGTGAAGCTCTATCCTTCAAACTTTTTCACAGCAGATTCTATGGTGAGGTGCTATAATCTAATGGAAATAGTGGTAACTGAAGCAGAAACACATGTGCACAATTTTTCATGTATTTTTGATGCCAAGATTACTTTTTCAGTGTGGTTGACATTTTTATATACATCTATTTTTTAATGGTTGATGGTTTACATTTTGCTATTGTACTTTTCAAGAGTGCTTGGCTTTTCATTTCAAAAGAGAATGTAAAGTATTGCAGAAAGTGCTGATTTCTACAAAAGGCTGTTGCCTCTTTGGAGGATTGTACTGATTAACCATTGAAGATTATTTTCAAAGACCAAGTGACTGGTAAATTCAAAAGTGTCATAAAACTAATTTCTGATCAGCTTAAATAAAGGCAGTACACAAAGCCATCCAATACAACACAACCATTGTAATGTTTTAGAGGAACTCTTGCATGCATTTTTGCTTTTTTAAAACTAGTGGCAGATGCTAAAGTCAGGTTAATTTTTCTAATTCTTTGCAAACCTAGAGTTGTACAATGGGTTGGTTCACATATAATAGATAACTATGGGTTAAACAACCCATAGCTAGTTGTAGCTGTGCACCAGTGAACAAGTGTCTCCTGCCACTTCCACTTCACAACAGCTTTCATAAACAACCCAGGAATGCCTGAAGTTGGAACTGTTGGTTGTTGAGGGACAAAATCATGGTTTGTTGTTGGGTTAAAACTTTGGATGGTTTGTCCCTCAGCAGTGTTTCGGGTCTGAACATTGCATCAAGCAAACCAGGAACTCCAGGGTTGTTTGTAAAAGTGGCTGCAAAACTAAAGTGACAACCACACAAAAATTTACTTGTTTGCTCTGGTGGAGCACCATCAATTCAACTGTTAAGCAACATGCAAACCATGTCAGTCTCAGACTGTGCCCATTATTTCTGAAATAAAATGCTAAATTCAGGAGATGGATCCAGACAAACGCTTCACTATGTGAATATATCTCCAGCCTGAAGCAATTCCCAAATATTACTGGAATCCCCGAATGTTGTGTGACTAAGCCTGAAGATGTGTCTTTATAGAAATTAATCTATGGTCTCATTATTTAGGAGCCAGAAATCTTTGGCTAAGACACTTGCCTAGGATTTTTTCTAGTTTCAGTCACTTAAACAATCCAGTCAGATTTAAGCTGAGGACATAACACATTTGGAACCTTATGAGCAGCATGAGTCAAGTCCAAATTAAATAAATTTTAGGTGGCTCTCTTTAATTTAAAGCTTACCCGGAAGGTTGCATTACTCTGTGCCTACAATCTAGGTAGATGAGCCCCTGGCCAGTTTTGGATAATACGCTATAGCTCTTTGTGGGTTATTTAAGCCACAGCAAGTCATGACACTCACAGATACCAAGCTGCACATGCAACCCTGTCCAGAGGTGGCCATGTTGTATGAATCTGATGAGTGTGGGGTTGCCTATGCAGAGTGGCAGCTGCACTGTGGGTTAAATAATGCATGGTGGGCTGTTGTGCTGTGCGAAGGATCCAACTGCGTGCTCTGCTAGAATGTTGTTTTTAAAAAATGGCCTTAAATTGAATCTTCATGTCTGCATTGGTATAATATTTTTGTATTTTTTCTTCATATTTTGCAATTTCATAAACCTTCCTATTTTATGGTATTTTACAGTTTACAAAATGTGTGTTGCATGTTGTATGTGCCTGCATTCAAATAATTACATATACAAATTATCACTGAAAAATAACCTCAAGTCCTTATATATGTATCATGTTTGGAGTCTCAGGCCATTATTTTAGTTAGCTTGATATGTGCTTTTTGACAAATCCTTTAAAGTCTCAATGTATAGCCTGTTCTGTCTGTTAAATAAGACTCAACATTTTATTTTTGATGCTTGTGCAATAAGGAAAAGCTCTGTGGAAAATAGAACGGAACTATTTTTTATCACAGTAACTTGAAAACGTTTTGATGCCTCCCCCAACAGAATTCAACTTTTCAGAAAGATGTTATTGATAGTAAACGCTTAAGTGTTAGCTTATAGCATTATTTTAAATTTGGTTTCCATATTTCCCTAATAGTCTTGTCTTAAAACATCAATATTAAAACCACTGTAAACAAAATGAAATAAATGTGGACATACTGTATATAAGAAATGTGTCTTACTGTTCTCTGTGTCTTAAAATATTTTCCATAATTTTTGGAATTGTGCAGGGTAAAATTGATGTAATCTTGGAAGAGGGCATTTTTCAGTTGAGATCTTTTGCCTACTAAGAAGGGAGAGACCCTCAGACTTGATGACTTTAGGAAGTCCTGTTTCAGGTGGTGGAAGAAGACTGTAAGTGCTACAATACTGTCATTGTAAATACTTAGAACAGCCTTTTCCTATAGAAAAGATACTCTTCAGATGTGTTGGTCTGTAGTCTCCATCAACCTCAGTCAGCGTGATATAAGCTGTGTGATCTATAGATGATAGTTGTCTCTATAGGCCATTATTTAAACAAAATCCAATTTGTTTTGCACTTAAAGCAAGCAAATTGCCTGTCTGAGCTTATACAACAATACTATCAGAAATCTTTTCTTTGACTGTCTCTCAAAAATTGGATTTCCTTGTTTAGAATATAAAGCTGGCAAAGGAAATGCAAAGAATGCAGTTTTATTTCACCAGCATTTTGTTGCTGTGATAAGATTTCCCATTTTACATAGGTTTACAGAACGTGTTAACAGTTGGTTACAAAATGGAAAATATTAGTTATTTCAGAAAAAAAAGACCAATGCACTTAAAACTCAGTAGATAATACCAGACCTTTAGAATGACCTCAGGATGAGGTCTTGAACCATGATATTTTGTCACTTCATGTAATACTTGAATGGATTGCAAAAGCCTGGAAATGGACTTCCTTCTTCAAAGTGATTCCTAGTTGTCCAGCTTCCCTGCTTTCTCTTGTAAGAGAAGCTATGATAGTATTGTCTTCTCTGCTGTACCCTTGGCATTCAGAATCTGCCACCTCTTTATTCTTCCCCAAATCCACTATATTCCAGTTCTACCCATATCCATGCCTTCTCTCTCCTACTTCACTAACAGGAGTATTCCTGATTTCTATAGATAACTGTTTAAATTAAACCACTGAATTTCACAGTATAGCCGACATTTAATATATACGCAAGAAGAGTGTATATAATAATATAACTGTATTGCTCTGAAAAGAAAAAGTCCAGAATTTTTGCATTGTATATGTGAATTATAAGGAGAAGATATTTCTGTAATTAATTAAGGCCAGTATGTATCTAAAAACTTTGAGTAATTTCCTCTGGTATTTTTATCTCACTGGTTAATTCTCCAAAAGTATCAAAAAACTCTTCCATTTCTCTCTGAAGCAATTCATTCCTTCTCTCTGCATCTTCATATGCCCTCTCTGCATTGCGCATTTTAATTTCCACCAACCGATACCACTTCCTCTGCTGACCCAATTGTGAATGAAGATCCTTAATTTCTGACTGTAATTCTTTGTTCTGTTGCTCCAGGCTGTTGGCATAAAAATACACAGTCATTTTTTCACATAGCAGTCCTCCTTTTGCTTGGCTTTATCTTGAGGTCCAGTGAGTTTTAAAGCAAAATGCTTTTCTAACACTTTCACTTTAATCTTTCCACCCACCCATGTCAGTCAAACTGCATAGGAAAAACGCAATTTAAAAAGCAGCATTTTTGGTGGATATAAGCACACACTTATTGCTTGTTTGCAAGCATAACACCAGAAAAGATACTTAGTCTCCCTAAATGACATGATGCAAATGTATTAAAGCCATCATCTGTGATCAGGCCAATTTCTGTATCCATTGTGCCTATCACATATAAAAATCACCATGTCACACATTTATCGCTTGTGCAATTATGTGAACCACAAGCAAAATAAGTGTGCTCCTAGTAGCTGAAATTCAACTACAATACACAGTGAAACTATGGTAGCAGTTATGAACATCTAAGTATACCTCTCTTCCTAAGTGTGCCTCTAAGTATACCTCCCTTTTATGCCCAGAAAATCGTATCATTTTATTGTAGTCCTTTACACACAATAACAGCTTTATTGGGCAATAATTGGCTTTTTAAAAGGCATAGTTAAAACTGTAGTACATATTCAGAGTAATAGGCACAGAATTTTTTCCTACTTAGGGTGCAAACAGAAAAAAGACAGAAAAAAGTCTGTTTAGACAGAAAAAAGTCATGCAACTGCCAGGATCCCTCTAGGCAGCATGCTGGCTGGGCCATCCTGGAAATTTTAGGAGTTTTCTTCTGTCTAAATACGGATTGCATGTTTGGTGGATATTAAATGCTAATTATTCCAGTTCACTCAATTTTTTCATTGCAGTAGCACCTGCAAAACCCCAGCATGATATCCCCATTGTTGACATTTCATGAACTAAACTTTTACCTTAAAATCTTAGCTTCGTACTCTGCATTCTGCCGGGCCATTTGCTGCTTTAGACTGACAAAGTGGCACTGCAAGGAATTTTGACTCGTTGAGACATCATTGTTCAAAAGAGGACATTCACTACAGTTGCTCATCTGGCCTTCTTCCAAGCTGTCTGAAACCTCAAAATATTTCTTGTGGTCTTGTTGATTCCTGTAAAATCTTCAAAAACCTTTGGAGCTAGACCTTCTTAAAGCACGAGCTGTTCATCAAGATATCTCAGCGATAGCATTTGTATCCTTTAGGCTCTTCGGACAAATGTGTTCAGTTCGGTCCCAGGTGAGAAGTTGTTTCAATTTTGTCTGTTTTCTTGTTTGACCCTTGCCTATGAGTCTTCTCATCCCAGCTGCAGCTGTCTGAAGCTTCTCAAATGTTTTGGAAAGAATCCACTCTATTGGAGTCTGGGTCTTGTTTCAGCTCCAGAGTCCATTCTTGATATGGAATGGGGATACGCCTCAAGTTGCTGTGCTTCTCAATCTTCTGGCAGCAAGGACTTGTTTGTATCCACCAGAGACACTGCCCTTTTATTATCCTTTTTTCTGATGCAGTTTGACTGACAAGAGTGGGTGGAAAACATTCTTCTCCGTGAAATTCTAGTTGCATGTTCCTGTTAGGGTTTCTGGAGACCTCCCCTTGGCAGTGAAGCAGCAACAGCCCAGAGGAAGTAAAACTTGGATCATCTTCCTCCCCAAGCACAAGATCCCCTCTGTCTTTTGTACAGAAAACAGAAGAAGCATGTTAAATCTGTTTTGGATTTCATGTTGGCTCAGATGAAGCCGCTGAATGAATGAAAAACAGCTTCTGCATAGCTGGTAGTCCCAAATTCTAACCATTTCAAAGGTAAGCGATGGTTAATTCTGTGTCTAATTAAACTTTATTTGTGTCTAATTTTAAAAAAAGTTACCCTGTTTTTGGCAAGATCAAACAATACATGTATTCAAAAATAGCATACTTCTTTTAAAAAAATCATGACACTATCTACATGTACAGATAACATTCGATGTGGGCTTACTGTTGCAAAATAATTAATCTTATCTATTCACATTCTTCTGACTACTTGCTCATGAATATTCTATATTTTCCTGGCAGACCAATGGGTCTTCTGAAAGGACTGGTTCATTATATTTCCTTGTAAGTGGAAAACCGAAACAAATAACGTGATAAGTAATCCAATACCCCTTTCCTTCTCCCATAAATGGCATTTCAAACTGAAGGACTTTGCCTACAGTAATGATCCTAGACTGTGACTATCCAGTGCTACAGGTGAAGAAGTGTCAAAGCTCTCCTAATTCCATGTTTAGAGAAATTTTTATATATTTTATACAATCACAAGTCACCCATGGAGAAGCCTTCATGTGTGCTAATACGATATGTATAGATTGTTCACTGTGGTTTGATACTGCACTTTTAGCTACTGCTAACATGTATAGAAGGGAAAAAAACTGAGTTGCTGATATTCTGAAGCTGAGTTACTTTACATCATTTGCTCAGCTAGAGAAAGTGCAATTTAAAAAAAAAAAAAAAACCTTTCAAGGCAGTTTGACTGCCTCATGCTTCCACTTAAGCAGGGTCAGTCTCCAGATGTTCATCTACCAAATGTTCAAGTTGAAATACATATAAATGTTCACCTATTTTATACCTGTCTTCTTTGTAAGAAGAACAGGATTTGGGAGCAGCTAGAACCTTCCTGGATAAAGCAAATGGGACTTTTTGCTAAGTCTAAACAATAAATGTTTACGAAAACCAGCGTACATTTTAAAAATCCATATAAAAGCAAGAGTTAATATTTCCAGAACTAAAAGTCAGAATATATCAGATAGAAAAGTAATGTTATTGTCCTTGGAGGGTGCCTTGGTTCTATATTTTGTTACTAGTTTTATGGAAATGAAATAAGATCCTTTTTGCTCCCCTAACCTGCTATGAGGGGTCATGTGCAGTTTACTGTTGTTTTCATTTCGTTAATATCTGTCTTTTCCCCTGACAGCCCACCCATTGATGGGCATGTGAAACATTAATAAAACAGAAAGGGGAAAAAACAGTCATAATGAACTTTGGATCTAACTTGATCTAGAATCTTAACAAATTGCAGCAGCGCATATGTGCATTGGCAGAAAACACCACACAAGTAGCATCTTGGTGTAATTATATGCAGAATCAGATTATGATTGCATTTTTGTTTTATTAATTCACATGCAGTGATAATGTAGGGATGGAACTGTACAAAGAACATGGAAGTGGGAGCAAACACTATGCTGGTTTGTACAATGGCCACAGTCCACTGTGCGCTGCTGCAGTTGTGCAAACCTGGTCAGCATGTGCTGGAACTTCAGAATTGTTAGTGCAGAACTCTAGCCATTGTAGACTGCAGGGTGGAGCAACACCATGGATTGGGTAAAGCAAGAGAAGTGCAGGAGCATTTCCATTGCATTTTGCTTTGTATGTATTCTTTGCAGATTGCAGCTGAATTCTGCCCTTATCAGTTTTGAAGGACCATGAAGGACCACCAGCTACTGCTTGCTTGTAGGAAAGAGGCACTTCTCATTCTGCAGCAGAACTGCCTGCCAGACATTATGCTTCAAAAGTCTTGGCAAATACTGCTTTTCCACACACACATCCCAGCTGCCATCACTAAACTGTGTACAATTGGCTCTGGAATAGCCTGGCACTTTATCTAAGTATCACTTTACTATACTGGCCCGCCCAGCAGGTAATGGAAACAAGCTTTCCTTTCCTGTCCTGTCTATGCTGAAAGACAACGCAAGTGCCTCCGGAACCATGCCATTGGCAGGGCGTTCTCAATATTTTGGAAAGCCTTCCAGGAAACTGTAGCTCATGCATTTGGGAGCAGTAGAGAGTGAACTGAGATGTCTTCCAGATAGTGGCCGCCTAGCACTTCCAGTCCAAATGCATTATGCAGTTCTTCCATCTTTGCTCTCTGATTTTTATTCATTGATCCCCCCTGCAAAATTCCGTGAGCGAGGCAGAAAGATGAAAGGGTAAGTGTCTTATTTGGAAATGCCATTAGACATATAGCAACCTTAGTCTAGAGTAGAGAGAGGCAACTTGTGCCCTCCTGATGTGCTTGCCTGCAGCGATCCTCCCTCACGGCTCTCTTATCCAGGATGGATGGGAGCGGTAGACTAAAACATATGGAAGGCCGCAGTGTGCCTGCCCTTGTTCTAGAGGCAGTTAGTTGGAAATAAGTTCTAATGAAATCACTAGGATTTACACTGGCCAGTTCTCATGATCAAAACAAGCCACGGTGGCTGCACAGGCACTGCCCCACCACATCTTACTGTGTGGTTTGGATCAAGGTGACATAACTTGCTCCATGGTTAAGCAGTGCTCAGATAATCTGACAACAGCCCATGGGTATTTCGAAGGATGTTCAAGAAAGGAAAATCAAGACCTGATTTGGACTAATGCTATATGCTCAAATGGAAAGACTGGATTGATTGATTGATTGATTGATTGATTGATTAAACACTTTTCTAACCCATCCACTACAAACATCTTGGGACTGCTTACAAAAAAAATGAGTATGGATCAACAGAGTGCCTGTGAAGCAAGTGGGATGCTTCCTGAATTTTCTGCTTTGTGACTCTGGAATTTTTAACCCTATTTTCCTGAAGAACATTGTGAAATTAAGGATACCATTGATCATATATTTAAGTGTTCAGTTATTTGTAGCATCCATGTGTTTTAAAAAAACAAATGTTAGTTCATAGACAAAGATCTGCCCATTTCCCATTATTGAGGTTGGATCATACACATGGGGATATGCCTCTGTAAATATGTCACCACATACATATGGACCAGAAATGGGTGCCTGACTGCAGTCTCTAAATGTATTTACCAGGAAAGAAGCATAATTTACCTCAGAGAAAACATGTGCTTGTGTCTGACATGCGCAGCGTTTAATTCCTGCCACCTACTTCCCAAAAGTGTGCAGGATAGGCCAAAAGTAGGCATGCAGTATTGATTGGGTCACATTTAGTCTCCTGGGTGATCAGAATGGCCATCATCGTTGCATCATTCCTAGAACCTGCCCCCGACACTGTGACACAAATTCCAGCTAGCACCAATGCTGATCAATGCTTGGAAGATGAACTTCAATTCACTGTGCCCACTGTGTGAGGTCCTCCATTAGCCAGTCAGTGCTGTATACCTACTTTTGGCCCATCCTGCATACCTTGGAGCTCTCACTAAATAGGAAGTGATCTACTCACAGCTTTTATTTCTCTTGACACACTGTCTTTTAACAGCTTGCAAGGAAGATCAAAGTAAAAAATGAGTTTCTTGGCAGCTTCTTTGGGTCAGTGCCCAAGTGGGGTGCCTGTTGCACTTTGACAGCAAGTGCCTCTCTGAACACTTCCCAGGAGAGGCATTCCGTTCAGAGCCATGAAAGTGTACAAGGCTGCACTTGTTCAAGTCTGATTAGAAAAAGAGAATGAAAAGTGGAAAAATTGTGTGCATTTAGGGCACAATTTGGTCTCGTTTTTAAAGGGGATTACAAACCAGTGATGGCCCTTCCATGGGCATTTTGAGGAGGCTTTCTGTGATCTCTTGAGAAAATGGGTGAAAACTAGACCAAAAAAACCATGGTGAGATTAAAGGGTGCAGGAGCTGGCAGGGGGCACAGAGCCGGTGGTGGTCGCTCCAGCGCTTGGGCATCAAATGGCACAAAGAATGGCCTGGGCAGACTGTTAAGAGTGACAGGGGGACTTTTAAGAGGGTCGCAAGCTGCTTCCATTTAGCCATGATGTGCCCAGTTGCCTCAGTTCAGGTGACATGCCAGCTCCTCATGGGTGAAGTGACCCTTAAAACAAGCCAGGGTAGCATTTTGCCCATAAACAAGCCACCCTGCAAGAAACAGTCCTGGTTCACAGGAATGGACAACCCATTATGGTTTGCCTCCCGTGATGGGTTTCCCTGTCACATGAGCCCAGTCAAAGTGAATGCTGGCCTGTTGTTGGGTGGAATCAGGAGCTGTGCATGAATTATCCCTTTCTCTGTATACAGTTAGATCCGAACCAAAGTTCTAAAAAGGTAATTCAAAACAGCACCAAAATTTCTATGAACATCAGAATAAGATCCACAGCAGTTTGTAGCCTACAGTAGGATCTCTCTATCTGTCTGCTCTCTCTCTTTCTCTCTCTGTGTGACTACTGTTGCAGAATTGACCAACTATACCTTGATACAAAAACCTACAGTTACAGTATTTTGCATCTGAAGAGAGCTCACAAACTTACATCATTGCATCAGTATAAGTTATGCTAAATGTAGGGGAGTGAAGGAACATTTTCTAACTCTAGTCTCTTTCTATTGTACTATTAAATGCAATCACTAGATGTCACTGTTGCATTTTAGAAGTTGATACATGAGATGAGATAAGGAGCTCTTGGTTTTTAATATTTAGACATTCTATTATTTTTACAGTCTATTTGCTCTATTCTAGGAATGGCATTCAGTACCAAAGGACTTTGAGAACATCAACCAAGA